AAATTTAATAGCTCATAAAACAATGGTTTTTAAAAACTTTAAATATTTTTTATTTTATTTTGACCAACAGTCAGTATTCCCCCTGGTTAAACATAATATATAGTCTATATTATTCTAGAACTAATTTAATCTTACAAGTTGTAAAATAAATTTCCAAATAAATGCCCCAGTTCCTGGCCTCTTATATTCACTCTTAATTACTCTCTCTCTTAAGTACTGGTAAGTAATAAAAACAATAAAAACAATTACGAGCACAATAGATCTATGTAGGTCGCAGTGCTACAGGTGCTACAAACATCTGACAATAGCCCAAACAACCCAATTAAAAAATAAAAAAAGTAATAAAAAAACATTTTAGGTTAAAATATTTTCTGGATCATTTGGTGGCACAACACTGTGGGAAAATCCGAAGTATGTAAGCCCAGCAAAGCTCAGACAGGCATATTCTAAGAAAGCTGCCAATAAGTATGAGTTGCGAGTAGAGAAAAAGGCAGTCTATGCAGCAACAAAGCCTGAAACAGGTTATCCAGATATTGAAGGTGCTGATTTCTTCAAAGGCGACCCAATGAAAAAAGCAGAAGTCTTAGTTCAAGGTAATCAATTTGATAAATATATCAAATTGATAGAAGGTAATAACCTTCTATCAAATTCAATGTTAACTTCCATACCATTCAAATTGTATAAAAAAACTTGCTGAAAGCTTAACTTAGATAATAAATTTTAATATAATATTATTGGAAATTGTTTTCAGAAGAAATAAAAGAAGAAATAGAGGATGAAGAACTAGATGAGTATAAAGTAAATAAACCAACATTTACTATAAAAAAATCAAAGAGCAGACCAGATATGGCTATACGTCGTAAACAACTCAAGGCCAAAAGCAAAGCAATCTCTGATCAAATAAAAAAGAGAAAACAATTCAAAAAGAGAAAGCCCTGATATAAAATTCAGGTTTATGTTTAAGTTAAATAAAATACATTTTTACTTATCTCAAAAAAAGTTTTATTTTGCAATACAATCATTTTGGTTTACATAAAAGTAATCGAAGCTTACTGTGAAAATATTTAAGCGATAGGTAATCTGTCCGGTATATTGTAACTATAAAACACACTTTAAATAGCAAGATATAATTAATCAGAATTCTGATTAATTATATTTTTATAAGTAATAGATGTGACAACTGACATTTTATTATATAAAAATGTTGTAGTAATTAAATAAAAATACGTACAACGTAATATCTTAATCTTATAATTACACTAAATAAAAAATATTCGAGAACTAATACAAGGATTTGTTATGTAATTACATATAGAGTAATAAAGTATACGACAAACATGTCTTTTATCTTAACATCTAAAATATAATATGTTGATGAGTGGAAGAGTTTGAACAAAAAGAGGTAGAAACGTTACGAATTCAACTCATACAACTACTTGACAATTAAAATATTCGAAAATAAACTAATAGCTATATATAATAAAAGTAATAGCTGTGAAATTTATTGAAGAAAGTCTGGTATGGTCAGTGACCTAAATTGGATATATGGTTTCTATTCTTGTATAAAAATATTTCTTAATATGTTCTCTTATATTCCTTCGTGTCAGCTTAATAGAATTATATATATTTTTGTAATGTTACATTCTTACTTTCTACTTTGACTGATTCAAGAAAATAATATCGTTTAACTGTTCATTTCATAATACTAGTTAAAAATTAAATTAAATTTTGTTTGGCAACTTATGTCACAGGTATACCCTGGAAAGGTACTGCAAATTTGGTACGATACGAAGCCATAGCTGTAGTAGTATACCCAACTTCTTAAATATTTTTACTGACACATTCTATTGTATATTATAAAATGTAGCCTTTATACACCAAAGATGAAGTAAGTTTTAATCTATACATATAAATAAAATTGTAGTGTCTGTTTATAATATGGAAATAACAATTTTTTATTACATATGATGAAAATAAATACGGTACATACACCAATTAATATTAAAAAAAATGGCTGCCTGTCTATTTGTTCTGGCTAATCTTTGAAATGGCTGGACCAATTTTGACGGGACTATTTTTGGCAGATAGCTGATGTAATGAGTAACTTAGGCTACTTTTATTTTAGAAAAATAAAGTTAAAAATACGCGGACGAAGTCGCGGGAACAGCTAGTGTATTTAAAAAAGTATACGTGAATCAGTCGCTATTTATAATTTTTTACATGGGACACATTCAAAAAAGCCAAAATTTTTTTTTGTCTTTTTAAATTCTATAATATCTCTAGAATATTGTCCTAAATTTTCAAGTTGATCCGACTAATAGTTTCGGAGATACATGAAAAGGTGGACGGTCGAGGTCAGGTATAGGCTGAGGGCGCAGATAAAACGCAGCTGCAGCTCATCTATTGTTAGCTGTAATTCTTGTCCCTTTTTTTCTTTATATAAGGTAAACTACTGGAAAATATTTCATTTGGTGATTTCTCGTTAAACTACGAAGTTCATTTTGAGGTTATAAGTGTTTGTTGTGAATTTTATTCGATAAAAAATGCCGTATAAAGTGTCTAGAACCCAGATAACGGAAGGTGTTCGTATCAGCATTATTATAATTATACGGTATGGACTAAAACTTGGCCCAAATTGCCATGAATATGCCCGAAATATGGATTGACCGCAGCCGAAAAGAAATCTAAAAATAGACTGCCCTGGACAATGCAGGTGCAGCAGGTTCTCTACTTTATGGCCCAGGAATCGACGAATCAATGTAAGTTAAAAAAAAAAAAAAATACTATCTTTTATTGTCTCTTAAAACTTTAAACGCGTTTTTCTCAAAACTATGTTTTCAAAGACGGTTGTCAAGATTTCTCGCGAACTACACAACCGCTCTTGATGAAAGTTTACACAGGACTTCGAGATATCATTTACAAGGTCTTGAACGAAGGGCTTTTTTTTTATTTTAATTACAACTATTTAAAAAAAAAAAAATGTCGAGAAATTTTCATCGAAATTTGCATTTTTTTTTTATAAAAACGTCTGCCAAAAATCCAATTTTCATTTATTTTTTTTTTCCTTCGTCCAATACCTAGTTTATTGTATTTACTAAAACACGTATTTTTTATTTTTATTTCAGATGATCCTGAAAGAAGTTCTGCTGACAACGCGGAGGCACCTTTTTTCCGAGGGACTGCCGGAAATGGCGTCGTAATGACCGCCATTTTGATATTTTTTTTTGACAATTTTGCAAAATGTTTATTAAATATGTATCTTTTAAATAAAAAAAAATTCATGAAAATATTTCATTTTTTAGATGTAAAAAAAATTATTGAAAAAAGGCCGTTTTTTGCCCGAGGAAACCCATGTTTAAACTCTTCTTTTGCGATAGCAGTTCATAGCCCAACATCCTTTAATGTATGTTCCAGAGCTTGCGTAGCAGTAAATTGATTTGAAAAGTGGACGATATATGTTAATGAAGTACAAATAAAAATGAATCATCTATGAATAATGTAACTCTGTGCTTTAAAAATTTGAATTATGCGAAATTGTCAAATATCGCACAAGTTAATTTCACCGCAATGGCAGTAGATAGCAAATAACAACAATATAACAGATTAGACCAATCGTCTTCGTGAAATTGTGAATTTTATATCATTTAATTTATTTTTCAATACAATAGGTATATTTAAAACACATGTAAAATACTATAAAACACAACGTTATATTACTTAGCATATCTAAGTGTATAATCATGCGAAATTACACTATCCTAATATAGACATATAAAAATTAGACTTGTACTTTTCAAGTAAAAATTAATAAAGTACTTATAAAAATTAATAAAACTAAATATTATGGCGCACAGAGTACGAACTCTTAATGTATAAAAATATCAAAAATTCACAATTATGGACAGATTATTACAAAAAGTACCAGTATTTATAATAATACTTTAAAGTAAAAATTGTTATTTTAATTAAGCGTATTTCTTATAAGCACTGAAGATTACAGCTTATCTCTTGATTTATCTGTAAAACGAATATCATTCCTTACAAAATTTATAAATAATGTGCGTAAGTATTAAAATTTAGAAAATATTCCTTAAAGATTAATAATACAATAGAATGCAGTTCACAACGATACAATAGCAGATCATCAGGCAATAATATATGCAACCAAATAATTAAAAAAAAATTGCATGCGACTTCTAGTACTTACATAATACATAACTAATTATAATAATAAAATAAATTTCTATTGCCATAGAGTCTTAAACCACATCAAAGCCACTGGAATAAATTATGTCTAATAATTAAAAAATAATAAGCCGATCTTATGAAAAAATATTATGAGTATTTCTGGATATCAATTATCCCATTAAAATTAATATATGAACACAGATTTCTTAACTATGAAATTTCAATTTTTTTTTTCAAGGTTCACTGAGAAATGTGTATATCGTATTCATTTCAGATTTAATATCTTAAATTTCCATTTAAAATAAACAATAATCACATCGTACGATATGATAGTTTCTAATATAATAATTATATAAAATCTTGTGTAAAAATAGATCCTTATGACAGATCATGTTTTATATAAATTATAATTCAATTCATTAACAAAATCACGATGCATAAAAAGGTACACGACTCACAGTTACATAAAATTGCTTTCGGCCAATGTCTGAGCAACAAGCACTAAAAATATATTAGTACTTCTCCTGTAAATCCTGCATTTCGGCGCCATCTTGCTCATCGCGCTGCTTGTGACCTCCAAGTTCGGCAAGTCGGGAATGTTTCCACTTTCCATCAGCGCCATTCATATTACGATCTTCGCATACGCATAAGAATAAAGAGTCGACTACCATCTGAAATCATATTAAAGTAATGCTTAGTTATATTATGTTATATCACAATTGCTTGTATTTGACAAATTAATTGATTAACGCTTTTTAACAAGAATCAATATTTAAAAGATTATACGAGAATTATTTACTCATCTTATTTAACTTAGTTATCCTACCACCAGACAATATGCAAATAATGGTTTCTAAACCATTAATACTAATAATTTAGATTTACATTAAAGAAACTAAACAGTAAATAAATCATAATTACATATATGTACGAGTATAAATAATAAGAGAATAACATAACAAACTTGTTATAGAACAATGTTCAATCCAATACCTAACCTAAATAATCTTAGGACGCTTGCCACCTCACATAATCATTGTTTTATGTAACATTTTCTTTTATTTATGTTCTATGTTAAATAATTTATTAACTTAGATATAGGTCTCATTGGATATGAGCAAGTCCAAGAGTTTCTCATACGCACAGTTGTCTCTTTATACTCTTAATTCTCAAATAAATCTAATTTTTAAATATTCAATCAAAAAACAAACCTCGTAAAGGGAGAGGATGCAGTGAGCGATAAAGAAAGCGAATATGCAGATAACAAGAGTGGGGGCTGCGAAGAAGTGCAGATCCGAGTTGCGTTTGAGAAGTAGTAAGCCGATGATACCAGTCACTGCGGTCACAATGCACTTGCCCAGGAATAGTATGAAGTCTCCCACGCTGTTTATGGTAGCTACTTGTAACGCGTTGTTCACTATCGTACTGAACGCCTACATATTAATTTAAATATATTTCATATTATTAAAAATACATAGTAAAAATATTACTGCTTTAGGAAAAGTTACAAGCGAGATTTCGCACAAATTTCAAAGTCACATAATAATTTGTTGATGATGATGCCGCTACGGATGTATGCTACATCAGCACTTTACTAGCTTAGACCGAATTGTTTCGTTTACTATGAAAAATTTTGCTATGGTTTTACTAATTGTTTAATGTTATGTACATTACGATACGATAAACAATTATTATAATATTAGAAATTTAAAAATTAACCAAATACCATGAAAAATAATGTCTAGATTAAGCGGAGTATTGCTTATATGCCTCTTTTCATTTAGAAACTAGAGGCTACTTGTAAGTCTCACATTTAGACCGTTGTGCAAGGTAGAAATTATATATCTATGAATCTTTCTAGAAATGAATGATTCTCAGGTCTACAAATATTATTAGATCAGTAGTTATAATCAATGATTAAAGCATTACCTTAGCAGCAGCCTTGCAAAAGTGACACCTCTCTATCGTAATAATAGTATAGGCATTGTGATTTAAATAGCGTATGAACTTTTCCAGACAGTAAAAACAACATATTCCACATTTCAATCCACATTTTGCACATTCCGATCCTTTTTCTGCTCTAGCTGATAACCTAAAATTGAATAATTTTAATGAGTTTACATACCTCTAATATTAGGGCTATAAAAGGACTTCGTAAGTAATAATACATAGAGTAACAAGAAGACACTATATTGCTCACTAATCATTAACACAAATAAAACACCCACAACAAACAATTTAATTCGTCGAAACACGGCCCTAAAATTTGTAGATTTGGTTCATGAAGGTAACTTTTTTTTATTACTATATCACCCTGATCATCATACATTATCTAATGATAGTCTTTAAGTATAAATATTTAATTGAAGTTTTTCTTCAAAATTGATCAATGACATCTACAAAATATTTCAAAATTAAATCTATAGTATTCTACATCTTCACTGCCTGATCGATCTTCACGCGGTTCTCCCTAGTAACGATAGTGATTGATCTCTAACGTCATCCAATATACAAACATGGGCAAGTAACTTAAATTCAGCATCATCCTTTCATGGGGGTGGTATATCGGGACTACCGATTGCTGTTGTCAGTGCTGTGACCACAGAGACAATTTTAATGCATTAGTATTAATTCATATGTATGTTAGTCTATACTTAATTCAATTAATATCCCGCTAACGCGTAGGTACTTCTAACACGAGTACACTATTTCAATAACATCCATAAATAAAACATTTTTATACTTACTTAGCATGTAGATAAGTAAGAATTAGTCTTGGTATTTTAAAAAGTGTTATCAGGAAAGATCCCTTAGCTACGGAGCCCAAATGGTACTTTACAAGCTTTCCTACCGAATATAATACTGGTGAATGTGCATTTGGTCCCCTGAAACAAAAATTGCATTGTAATGGAAATAATAAATAGAACATAGTAACTCATTAATTTATGACTAGCTATTGACAAATTGAAATTAATATTGTCTGTGTTCCAAGTAGAGTGTAGTTTTCGAGTAGTAACTATATAAATAGATAGTAAGCAGTTAGTGCCATTCACATCCTGTTTGTCTTCTATAGTGTAGAATATATATAATAATAAGAAGTGTAAATATTGTTGTGATTAAATTGTTTGGTATTTATTTGTGGTTTATATATGAAGATTAACTAAGAATGTAAATAATTAAACACATTTTAAGCCGCGTTATTCCACGACATAATAATTATGTTGTTTTGTATGTTTCTATACAGTATAAGTAAACACTACACACACAAACTATACAGTGTAAGTAAAGTAATTATAAATAGGTTGGTATAGGTTTCAGAAACTGGATGAATAGGCGTTGACCTCGTAACATATGACACAATTACTACTTCGGAGAGTACCTGAGTCATGTGGCAAAGAAAGGACAGACGACCGGCTGCCAGGAATTTGGAGGTGATAAGGACACGACACAAGATACCCTATAAGAATGCCTAGAGTTAGCACATGAGAACCGAGTATGGAATAATGGAGGACGGATATCTCGCTGCTAAAGTTTGTCAAACATGTTCCTTCTGCAAGGCAGTTATCTCGCGGAAGGAAACGGCGGTATTAGAGCAGGATTCAACTCGTCCTGCTTCTGAAATCCGCTGCAAAGGAGTCAGGCCCAAAGGCAAAGGCGTATCCAGCTCCGCCCACTCTATCCCTCAGTGAGGCCTGGCTGGATATCTTTAGGGAGGCAACCCTCCAATCTAAATAATTAATAATAGCCACAGAGGTGTACGCGTATACCCACATATGCGCAATGGAGTAGGGCAAAATAGGACGCCCTAACCACAGCAAGATGGCGACTGCCCTACAACATCTACAGGGCGGGCCATCGCCGTCGAAGTAAGTAGAGGTAGAATGCGTATGCGAACCTCTCCATCCTTCCGGCGGGGTGCCACACTTTGGAATATTTTTCCCATTCGAATTACCAAAATGAGTCGGTCCTTGTCTAATGTATGTCTCGTATCCTTGTATGATCTCGTCAAATTTCATTAAAGCCCATTCAAGATTTTCGTCGCGAAAAGGTAATAAAGAGACAAACAAATTTACGTGTTTCTAAAGTGAGTACTGTAATATAAGTATGTAACATACCTAAAATACCAGTGAGATACAGCGCCCGCAATAGTCATCTGCTGACATCCCAATATAAACTCGCTGGCCCACACTAAACAAATGAGACACATCCACCACATGCTTTTCACCCACATTGGATCAAATTCAACCGGTTCCAGAGGATACGCTAAAATAAAAAAAATATATACCATGGTACATTGATCTTGAATAAATATTCAAAGAGAATAATTTTCTTTAAATAATACATTATTCAAATTTGTACGATGTAAGATATTTACAAACAAATATTTAAGTGACTAGAATTTCTTTTGTTCCAATTCTAGCGGACTTTTTGATGCATTTATATAATATTTAGAAATTTTGTTTCTATTTTGTTGATAATTATTTTAATTCTATTCTATCATATATATCTGTTGTATCAGAGCCATTAATTCTTTCTATATTTTTCCATAAAATTGTCAAAACCTCATTAATCAGGTACATTAGATAGGGATCTGTTGTATAAATATGTAATAAAACTATTAATGACTGAAAATTGTATTTTAATGTTATGGTAGATAGAGAGAGTGACACAATATAATAATTTGTTTTTATATTTTTGATTATAGAATCTTTAAATATATTAATATCAAAATAGTTTTCTCAATATATCCTCCCGTAATCAAAACATATATATATAACAAAATACAACGTAACAAAAACAACAGTATCAAAAATACAACATAGTAAAATATATACACGGTTCCTTTTCAACCTCCGTGTACTCCACTCAAACGGCTAGACCTTTTCTGAGTAAGTCCATACCGAATCGACAATATTTCTTCAGCCATTCACCATGTGTGAAGTCATATATACTGATGTTCCATAAATAAATTATCCATTTGTCACAATTTCTGTTTTCCAATCTAGATACAACTACAGGACAAAGGTAATCCGTTGTATCTTTAATATCCTGTTCTATTTTGGATACATTTCCTTCTTGTCCCTTTTAAGTGGACATTCAGGACTATGTCCATACATTTAAAACATATAATAGGCCTCTACTTTTTCTCTTTTAATTGCGAAGTATGAAATTCAGCACCGTCGTTCTGAGCAACTTTTGACATTTTGCTCAACAACTTGCTTTTCACCATTTCCAAAGTCACTTCAACACTAGAGTTTTCTAAAGCCATTACTAATGGTACAAAACGTGATGTCAAACCTCCCAACAGTATCGCAGCTAGAGAACTGTTATTGATCTTATTGCCTATATTAGCCAAATCTTGAGCATGTCAAGACTGCATTAATGTACGACTCGATATGAGAAAAATCAGATAGAGTACCCCTGTACAGCCGTCTCTCCATTACCAATTTTCAACCTAGACTCAGATCTTCATATGCCTTATTCAAAGGCATACCAGGCCTCTTTTGCTGACGTTGCTGTTCTCACATGCATCATTGCGGTACCGTCCACACAAAGACAAACTTTTGATAATGCCTTCTTACGTTTCCGCACATGCATAGGTGTAACATCACTGGATTCATAACCATCTACTACATTTCACAGCTCTTCGTATTCCAACAAACTCTTCATTTTGAGTTTCCATGCTGTATAATCTTCACGACTCATCAATATTTTAATTCCATTAAAATTATTTCCAGCCATTATAAATGAGCTAAATCGTCTTTTAAATTGATTTATTCTTCGTGCTGATAACGAATGTTGTATAAATATGTAATAAAACTATTAATGACTGAAAATTGTATTTTAATGTTATGGTAGATAGAGAGAGTGACACAATATAATAATTTGTTTTTATATTTTTGATTATAGAATAGAAAAAACCTTTAAATATATTAATATCAAAAGAGTTTTCTCAATAGGATCTTTATGGCTTTACTTTATTAAGTGGTGTATCAAAAATCATCCAAAAACGCTAATTATCTAATTAAATACATACTCTTATAATTAGCACTCTTGTTAACATCCTGGCCATGAACTGCTGCATTATCAATTTGGTACGGCGTTGAGGTGCCATTAATGAAAAAGTTTGTTTTGTAAGGTATTCCAGGATAATTGGCTGTTGCTAAACAAACCTGAAACAAGAAAATTTATTTTAAGACAATATATACAATTCTATTCAAAAGCAGGCAATTAATTGTGTCAAGTATGATTGTAGTAAACGTAACTAACTTTAAATTTGCACATATCTGATTATCTAGGACGGTTGTGAAGAACAATATCACAGCGCATATCGTCGTTAACAGCGTTCATTATAAAAGAATGACAATAAAAAAAAACTTCAGAAAGTTTTAGCTCGCTACAAGAACATTTAAATAGTTCAAGCAGACAGATAAATCTTAATAATAATATTATAAATGCGAAAGTTTGTGAGTATGAATGTTTGTTACTCTTACACTACACGCAAAAATTACTGAACGGATTTTAATGAAACTTTACAATAATATAGCTTATGCATAAGAATAAAACATAGGCTACATTTCATATTAAAATTTAACGCGGATGAAAACGTGGGCACAGCTAGTATATTATAAGACTAAAACATTTACAAAGATGTACTTCACATTAAATTAAAAGACATTCTTCCGTTGTCCGGCCATAACATCAATATTGATATTCTTTTTAATTGGGTCATAGCAACGTCTCACCGTGTCAGCTAGTTACGAAGGTAGATAATTGTTAGAAAAGTTTTCTCCTTACTGGAGACCTATTTGAAATTTATCGATACATACTTTATAAATAATTAAACTGACACAAATTTTAGTATGTATTAAACACACAAATTTTAGTAGGTATGTATTAAACATACTTAAATTTGTGTCGGTTTAATTATTATTATTATTATTTATTAGCACTTATTTAAAATCTATCAGACCCATTGTCAATTTCGATTTGTTTTATTAAAAAATAATTTGTTTACAATAACGACAGTGTGGTTGACACATTACAACCGTCTATTTCTATCTTTGACTAACTAACGATTTATGTGTTTTGTTGAAAATTATCTTTCACATTGCTATTATAGTAAAAATATCGAGTTACCAATTACATTTTATTTTATTGAATAACAGCGGAAATACGTTTTAATATTTTCAATACAATAAAATTTACTTACCACAACAAGAGACCAAAAAGTAAAGAATAATACTAGGAAGAAGAATGTAATAATTGGCTGTAGGAAGAGAGACGGGATTGAGCCGAGGCAATGCGCGGTCTCCTTGAACAAGGCCGCCAGGAAAGATACACGTGAACGCATTACAAATACGAGTAATAACAAAATAATCTGAAAGAAAAGTAGAATTTAATTAATTATAACAACACCATCTAATCCCAAGCTAAACAGAACTATTTAAATCAATAAAAATAGGTATATATTATGAATTATCAATTGCATACGAATTTCTTATATGGAGTGATATAGAGAAAATCACATACAACACATGACTGCTATAATGCTGTTCAATAATACAGAAAACGGTAACCACTTTCGATAGCAATGGTATCGAAAAACGTAGATAAATACTTACGGTTATTATTGTCGCAATTATGGAGTACCACAAAAATGCCTTTTCGTTTTTCAGTGATTCCTAAAATATTTTAAATGGTATTAGACAATATAGCAGAAATATTAGCTGAAAAAACATGGGTTTGCTTCCTTATAATACATACATATCCCGTATGAAACCTATGACAATTAAGTTTTGTTTTTCGTATTCGCTGTCTGAATCCCTAGTAATCTGAGAAATTATAATGTAATGACCGTTGTTATATTAGTAAGTAACTGGGGATTCAATTAAATCGGTACTCTTCTGTTTAAACTATGTTGACAAACATATCTTGGCGATAGAGTTAGGTTCAATAAATATTATACATTCGTTAGCTAAAATTTCACTTTTAAAGCTATCTTTATCTACTCTAATGCTGGCTGCTTGGCCGCAGCTGGCCTTTATAGCTTCACCGGACGATAGGGGGGCGGGTACAGATGGCACTCCAAATCGGCGGAAGGACTTATGGAGCGGCTGAAGGCCTACTCCCGCCTGACGGATACCAAAATTTATTTGACTGATTAAAAAATATTAAATCTGGGTTTCTTTTCAAGTAAAGTAGTTAGCCAAACTGGACAGTACAGATAGCGATAAAAATATTCTAGATGGATTAAACACTTTTATTTTTACTTATTGTTAGCCATAACGCGACAACATAGTATACACTCTTGCTTTGCTTGCTCCATTTGTTGCGTTTCACTACTCATCCCTGCTTACAACCCAAATAAAATGTTAAATATTCGCTATTTTAAGTCGACTGGTCTGACTGTAGGAACAGCGTTTTAACTTTATTTTGTATTGTCAAATACTTTAACTAACTACTCGCCACGGCTTCGTACGGGTGTACATATATTATATATATAAACTTTCCTCTTGAATCACTCTCTATTAAAAAAACCGCTTCAAAATTGCGTAGTTTTAAAGATTTAAGCATACATAGGAACAGACAGCGACAGCGACTTTATTTTATACTATGTAATATAATATATCATTTTCAAGTTTCTTTATATTTCGTTCGAAATATGTATTTATATATATTGCTAATAGTTAAACAAATGTATAGTAAATTATGTAAAACAACTTACAGATAAAAAACTCGTCGCGAATTCCTTTTGTTTGGTTCTTAGCTCATAGTATGTGTACCATAACAAGGCAGTACCGGCCACACTCACAATTGACACTACAATCATGAAAATCCATGATACGAAAGTCGCTAACAGGTGAAGGATTGACACCATAATTAGAGAGCAGACTGTAACAAAAATTACATTAAGTATTCGAGAATATTATAAAAGATTAATTTCGCATATATTACTGGTAGTTATAATTTATTTATATTTATGTCAATGTTCCCAAAACAAGTAAATAAAGTTCTCAACCTAAATTCGAAATGGTAAATAGAAATATATTTGTTTGGCATACATATTTCTATTGTGAAGATCTAACAAGTTCATGCATAATTGTCATGTATTTCGTTGCACATTCAACAAGGATTGTGGGATGGCGGACGTCGTTTTACAATCTCAAAACATATAATTTCAATATTCAGTATAACGCTGAATATTAAAATAAGCTAAATTATATGTTTTTATATAAGTTGAATTAAAAAAAAACACATTTGTTTTTTACGTTAACATAATTAACATATTCGCTTCAGAATCTTCCGTCGACCACGGATCACCTTGGGAATCACTGGTATAGCCTTTACACATGAATACCACCACGTCTATTATTTTCGTTGCTTTTATCGAACTATTCTAATGCTGTATTTACAAGAGTGGGCGAGTGCTGATGACACTCCAAATACGCGGAAGGACTTATAAGCAGCTTAAGAGCAACTTCTGTCTGACGGTTACGACTTTGTTTGGTCTGAGGATAGCCCTTGGGGTTGGAACTTCGGGTCAGGCAGTCGTAATTTCGATCACATTTTGAATTGGACGGGGGTTCAACCTTCACCCGCTCCATAAGTCCTTTCGCGAGTTTGGAGTGCCATCTGCACTCGGCCCTTATCATCCGGTGAAGTTGTAAAAAAAGGGAGGATTTGATTGCATTCCAACTCAGCCTGCTCTATTTAAAAATAGAAAGTATCGGAAATAGTTATAAAATCGAAAATTTTATAGTTATTTTATAATCGTCTACGATATCAAAATTAGGTGACACAGAGGGTCATATACCCTCTGTGTCAATCAATAGATACCTACATACGCATTAGACCCACCCTAGGTCACAAGAGGGAGGCGTACCCATTCCGTGGTGGCATCACATACTCGTACATAATGTGTAGTCAGTGTTACAATATTTACAATGAAAAATGACTCAGTACGACTATAATTACGTCACCTACCTACCCACGTAATTATTATATTGTTGTTACTCGTCGTAACCTCGTACCTGGTATAGATCAAAATTATGGTATAATTATCTGATCATTTTTTTATGTCCGACATGGTCGCTAGAGGGCAAAAAATATCGGAACTGTGGGAATGTTATATTTTTACTTGCCATATCAAGGAGTACATTTATATTTATTAATAAACATAAATATATAAACAGGGTCATTTGTGCTTTGACTTTAGTAACATTTCGTATTTTATTCAATAAAAATGTTGAGTAGGTAGATAAAATAAATTGAACAGATACTTACTGAAAGCTACGATGACGCATATAATCATTTCCTTCCAAGAGGAATAAAGATCCGACAGCATTTGTTCAACAGTATCCCAAGTATTGAGAAGGTCATAAAAATCATTAAATACTCGTGCTGCTAGGTCATGTGCTGACTTGGGGAAACATCTATTTAATAGAGGAAATGAGTCATAAACTGGCAATGTGGGACATGGACCGATAAAATTATGCAAATCCTTAGTAGTAGTAACATTGTTTGGATTAATATCATATCTACAAAGATTGGAACCTGTCTCTTGGTAAAAATTGCGTATATCATTCAGAGAGTCCATATTTCGATTTGGACACTGTTTAACACATATTTTAAGGGACCTTCTCAATTCTTTTATATCCATAAAAAATAGATACTTTTGGTCGATAGTATTTAGTCCAGCTAATGGAAAATTGATAAGTTTCTGGTTGCTCTTTACACCACATGTATTTCCAAAGGAATCATACCCATTGATGAGTCTTTGTGGGTTGCCATATACAAAAGATATTGCAGCAACTATTATCTAAAACAAATATAAAACAATCACAACATACATTGTTCTATTTATTATGTAATGGTAGCTACAGGTGTCATTTTCTAAGTTTCACATAATTTTTGAAAATATTAAGAGTTTATTAGAATTTGAATTTGTGAGTTTAAAGGAAATACAGCTATTCACTAACACTGATATAGCCAGAGCAAAAGCAAGAGCATTGTGAATTTCATCAAAAACAAAAAGGAATATCAACAATTACAATGCAATTACATACATAAATATACACATAAAATACTGTCACGAAAATATCCTCGACAGAGTTACTATGAGGCTTTGTCGACTATAAATGTTGTGGTGAATGCCCATTTCACTCTGTATATTTGAATTTTACATTACATTGCAGTCTACATTCAGATTTTTTTTTGGATCGATATTGGTGCTTCCTTTACCAGAGTCAGTCAGAAATGTGTATAAATTCACACATTTATTTTTATGCCTAAAACTTCAGCCTCATGGGTGTAATTCAGGATAGTAAACTACAAAGCTGTGACACTCTAATATAAATAAATTGGAATTAAATTTTATTCAATCTCTTCTGTCACAAGTATTCAATAATTCTGCAAGTTAAAAAGATTCCATCTCAAGGATTCGCTTATAACTGACTGACAAAAGTCTATCTCCCTCCAGCATATACCCATATGAAGCACCATTCTATATACATTCATTAAAAAATAAACCATAAATACAAGATTTTATTGTTAACTATATTATTATTTTTATTACTATTGTGATGCACAGGAGGTATACCCTCCCAGTGCTATGACTACACTACAACAATAAGTTATCTACCGTTCTAATAGGTTTACCAATGTGTTATTATTCCACAGTAAAAAGCAGAATTATTAAACATCTTAAAACTTACCATTAAAATCCAAAAAATTACATATATAATCAACCATATAACATCGGTACATCCTTTTCTAGGGGTTTCATTTTGCGGCGAAATTTCGCTTTGTGTACAGCCCATGTTAAAATAATATGTAAAAACACTTTTCAGGCAAATAGTGCAACATATATAGAAATTATAAGACGAGATATAACTTTAATTTTACTAATAACTAAAGAAACCGACTTATTACTGTTAAAGGTAAACTCCACAAAACACCAAACACAACAATAAACACTAAACAGAAGATTACAGAGTAGGCTTGTTGAGTTCAGGAATGAACTAGAGCTCGCGCTCTAGAGAGCTCTTTTGTTCGTTTCGATAAATCGGATGAAATCGTATTGATCACGAACGATCAGTTCAGACCAGTCACGAATTATTATGAACAAGACTATAAAGGAGTTAAGCAAGGGCCTTGCATATCTCTGAACTAAGAACCCCACCTTACTCGGAGGCCTTCCGATTTCAATATTTGTAGAAATTATTTATTATTGATTTTTTTCTCAGAACCATTTATAACAGTCGTTGTTTAAAAAAAAAAAGATCAAGTAGCCAAAATTAGGATTGTGGAATAATATAATAAATCGATTTTTATTTAATCGATAATAATGCTAACAAAAAGGATTAATTTATTAATCATAAGGTCAACTAAAGGAAGTTCATTAATTAGTGTACATGTATGTATGAAAGCGAGTCTATTTGGCAAGATAATTTTTGAGAATCATCGGCAATCATCGGTGTATTAACAATTTAACACTGAAGTTTCGGTTTCGATATTATCAATAGATTTGACGTCACTCCTTTGGTATACTTACTTTACCACAGAACACCAATATACTTTACTCTTTGCTAGATATGTTTTGGACTGAACGTCAATATATATTACATACATGACAGAATGTCACATTAAAAATAAAAAGACGATTATATTCATTACGAATTAAGGCATTTTCTGTTCATTATTATTAATTTTTAATTAACGGTGTGTTATTGAGTGTTCTTTGGAAGTTTTATTTATAAATACTATGTATTCCAACTTATTAAATACCTTAAAAACATCGGTTGTAAATTTAAATACGTATAACAGATATTTAAGCAATAATGTTGCGTGTATAACCAAAATGCATCGAGAAGTTTATTCAAGAATGTATCCAACTCGAGTTGTATTACCTGATGGGGCTTCAATTATTGTTAGATATCACGAACCACGCAATATTATTAAGGTATGTAACGAATCCAACAGTAAAATTCAGTCGATGCCACCTAGCTTTAAACTAAGCACAATTTGTATTCATAGGCACCAAATAACCGATAATACTTAGATACAGTTCTTCAATGAATACTTATGTAATATATACATAAAACAACTGAAGCAGTATTTTTATATTTTACCTAATATAATGTTGATAAATATTTAAAGTTAAGTTGATAAGGCATTGATAACAGATAAAAATAAAATTACGTTATAATAATTTTAGGGCAAATCAAGGTTCTTAAGCCGGGGTTACAAGCTGCAGTCAGCTTGTGACCGTGGCTTAGTGTAACCTAGTCGAAACATCAAGATAGGTAAATACCTTTATTACAAGGAATTATTTTTTTAGATATATTTATTTACCTTCTTACATTGTAATCAAAAAGTTCTTATAAATCAAATACAAAATGTTATTTGTATTGTATAATAACATGTATGTATGTATAATAACCTGTAATCATTAAAAGTAAGACTATGTGTTAAACACAGAGATGAGTATTATTTATACCACATGGAATAATTTAATATGAACAGGCTAAGTTTTTGTATTACTGCATTTGCATAAATGTACCTTTTATTTCATTACAGTTGCCACTTAATTTATCACTGTTATCTGAAGAAGACAGACGTATTAGACTAGAAAGAAGAAAACCAAAGAAAAAAGTGAAAATTACAGATGATGTTGAAGACAATTTTAATGCTAATAAATATTTGAAATTCATGAAAAAACAAAAATAGTAATATTAGTAATACTTTTATTTATTCAATTAGTTCAATAGAATGCGGCATAGTTATACAAATAGTTTTAATTAATATCATGTTAGTGGTTGATGACATTGATATATACTTATTTCATTATTCTTTGTGCATTATTTTTTTATGTTATCCTAAAATAATTAAAAAAAGAAGAAAGATGATTTGTCCTGAATTGTTAACAATAGGATAATAGTAGGAAGTATAGTAATAATAGTAGGAGCCTATAAAACATAATAGTAGAGTTATTAGAGGTTAGAGTTCATCTGAATATATCTGGTTCCTTCAGAGTGGCTCCTATTGTGGAGAAAGTAAGAGAAAGTCGCTTATGCTGGTATGGCCATATTCAAAGATGCAAAGATGACTATGTGGTTAAAAGAGTGCTCAAGATATCAAACTCGACCAGAGGTAGGGGCAGGCCACATGTTACTTGGTAGAATAATATTAAGAAGCAGATGGATCAGGACAACCTTAATATACAGACAACCCAGAACAGAGTTCTCTGGTGCGGATTTACAGGGAGACCCGACCCCAGATAAACTGGGAACATGGGTTGGACAAAGAAGAGAGTACATCTGATGATTTCGACTTCAATTCTAAAAACCTTTATTTGCCACCCTACCATTTTAAATGCCAGCCACCAATTTTTATTGGTGTTTGCCAACATCATGGTTTGAGAGACACAGTGTTATTTTGTAGCTCTGGTCTAAAGACTACTTATTTTAGCTAAATAAAACTAATAGTATTTGCATTACTAGGTAAATTCACACCAGAGTTGGCAAACTTAGAAAATTTTGTCTTCATTTTGGTATATTGAGTCTCTAACTGAGAACAACAATTACAGCAATTCAATTTTATTTTTGGTAGGCTTCTACTTTAATAATCTTATCAATATATCTTTTTGTAGTATAATATTACTGAACAAGTAATCACTATGTTACCTCTTATTTAAAATATTAAACCCTTCCCAGCGAACTTCGAGTAGGTAATCTATGATCACAAACAATACCGAGATCCTCTGTGCTTAAAATGGTAAGAACTATATAGAAATGATCGATATCAGAATAACATCGATGTTGATATATATTATGTTATCTGTGATATGAATCAATAAGCTTAGACGTATACGGCGATGTTTCGGCGGTAGTTTTAAATGGATAAACCTATACGTACGTGCTACTACACAATTTCCTGTGCGCAGTCTACATATATGTAGATAACATTAAAGTTTTAATATGGAGGCCGTAACAGAAAGAGTTCGTGATCATGGAATTTTTGCAATACCAGTCGTACAGACTGCAGGAAAAAGCTTTACGATGCTTATTGTTTTTAAATTATGCCACAACTTTATCTTTCTAAAAGTTTGTTGTAATTTATATATGAATTATAGACTTTCTATTTCAAAGCCAGATTTGGACGAGCTCAATGTTATAAAAATAATTCCGAAAACCTGCTATTAATAAATGACATAGCCTGTCTGTCATATATGATGCACAAAAATTTTACTACTTTGCGTAAGTATTTGCCAAAATTCCCTGCTTGTATCTGCTACGGTTGTCTGTGTCCTCGTATATGTGTTCTGTAGATTAAAGTATCGACTATCGAAATACGATAAATATCAAAATAGAAACATGAATGTTGTAGTACTCGTTCGATTTTATTTCGTATTACCTTTTACCAATCGATGTTACCGGTTATTTAACATCGATTTTTCTTTACGATATTATTAAAGACTTGACATTAGACTAATATGTAGTCTGTGTTCCGCCGAAAAAAAAATCATTTTCTGATATTTCCGAATTTTACTTAAAAATTCAAAAACATTAAATTCGTGAACTTTTTGTACGTATCATAATTTAAACTATGTATAAAGAATTAGATTGAACTCTAAAATATGTATTGATCACTTATATTTTATAGTTTGCAGCAAAGTATGAAGTAATATTTGTGTAATTTTAACCTATCCTCTTACGTAAGTAAAAACAGAATGGGGAATACCGTATCTGCAGATGCTAATGTTAACATAAAAACAGCTACAAATGACTCAAATATACCACCGGAGTGTCCTATGCATAATAAGGGAATAAAACAACCACAGGAAACTAAGAAAGCATCGGAATGTCCTGTCCAACATGGATCTGGCAGCGACATTAATCCATATAATATGGTAATTTGCACTTTTATAAACCCATACGTAGAGCTTGTCACTGCATGCTGGACCTGATTGATAAATAACCAAGTGAATTTATTAATGAAGCATTGTGAAACATAACCTTGAAATTTATTAATAAAATCTTGAATATGATATTTTCGTCAATAACCTAGTGTTTAAAATGAGTACTAGTACTACAAGTATAATAGTAAAATTTATTGCCATAACTTATACGCATAAGACCAGTCTGAATCAAGCTGACATTAGAAACTGTGTCAATTTAAATTTCTAACATACAAATACTAATATTTTTGGACACAGGGTCATCAAGTCCCAAGCTAACCAGAGATTGTGTTCTTTTGTTATTATGAGTGATATAAATAAATACTTAGATTTTTTCCGTATATATAATAATATGCATTATATACATTGAAAACATCTGGACGTTTGTATCACTGGAGTGATACAAACAATTATACTCATGAATTCAATAGTTTCTATGCAAGCATTTAATTCTTATGAAATAATGTTATTACTAGTGTTGCAGTCAATAAAATGTTGACCATTGATGTTATATTACTATTATAATTTTAAATTTCTTTCAGATGCCTCCAGCAAACCAACAACCTTCTCCAGACCAACCATTTGCTCTACCAACACAACGGCAAGTGTCTACTATTCCACGAGCAATGCCCGATGGATCTACAGAGTTCTGGGTATATCCGAGTCAGCAAATGTTCTGGAATGCCATGCTTCGCAAGGGATGGCGTTGGAAGGATGAAGATATAAAGCAAAAGGATATGGATGATATAATTAAAATTCATAATGCCAATAATGAACAGGTATTCATAATAATGCCACTATTGATATGATGGGTTAGTCCTAATATTACCAGTGTAGAATTCTTTAAATATTTGGAATATATGTATATTTACTAAGTCTAATATCAGTAGTAGTACTTTATTATTCAAATTTCTTGATTGGAACTGTTCTAATAAAAATCATTTAAAGGTATCTATGTAATATATGACTTGTTTATTTATGTTTACATCATGCCTTATAAAATTAATAATAAACAATAATATAATTTTTAAAATAAAAATATAAACAATTGTGCAACTAATAATAACAATAAAATATATATAATTATTTATGTATGTAAATATATGTAAATTTGTGAATTATATACTAGTTCTTAATTACTTTAAACCCATATCTGTATACATTTGCTGATATCTATTTTATTTACATAAGCATATATAATTTTATATTTCCACTAATACCCTGCCTACTCTATATTTTGAAAATACTCTCTTACAAAAGGTTGTCTGGAAAAAGGCGGCGGTCTTATTGCATTAGCAAGAAGACCGCCTTTTATACACAATTAGTTTTATTTTTTATGTGTATAAAGTGTTATGAAATAAAATCAAATATCAGATAATGATGCATAAGAATAATAATAGAAATAAATGTACTGTATAGTATAACTGGAGTATATAACTCCAACAACCAAAATATTTAACTAAAAAAAACAAGAAATTATTTAAAAACACAGAATAAAGGCTTCCTTATCTTTTATTTACAGGCATGGCAGGAAGTTCTGAAATGGGAAGCTCTTCATGCTAAAGAATGTGGACATCCAAGATTGAAGAGCTTCGGTGGGAAAGCAACACAATACAGCCCTAGAGCTCGTTTGCGCTCTTGGCTAGGGTAGGTTATTAAATTTACCACATGTGATTGAGGTTAAGGTGAAGATTTAGGATAAATACATATAAAGTGAACATAAATTACTTTTTGCAGGTACGAACTTCCGTTTGATCGCCACGATTGGATTGTAGACAGATGTGGTAAAGAAGTACGGTATATTATCGATTATTATGATGGTGGTGAACTTGATAAACAGTATCAATTTGCATTATTGGATGTAAGACCAGCCTTTGATTCTTTCGAGAATGTTTGGGATAGAATGAAAGTTGTGTATATGAGATATCGCTATGAGCTGATTGGAAACAAAGAAGACACCAAATTAACTAATTAATATTTGTATTTAAAAATGATCATTTTTGTTTTCTTAATATTTCTTGTATCAATTCAGAGTTAATTGACACTTTAAATATATTTTTGTGGAGTTCTTGTGTCGGCAATGTTTGTCACTTCATAAACTCTTTGTGATTGTATGTTTTCTAACCTATTTATTAGATATTCATAATAAGCTAACCACGCAAGTATATAATTTTAAAATCTCATTAAATTATAGAGGTTTGTACCCACTTTGCTTCCGACTAGACTTCACTAAACTATTATTATCAGTAGTACTTAATACAAAAACATATAATTATATCATAGAAAAAATGTATAGATAATTTTAATGTTGAAAAGAAATTTCTTTTTGAGTTTGTATTTTATTTAATCCTGTTAACAATTTCAGAGTAAGTTTAATTAAAATATTACCTAATTAAAACACTTAATATGTACAATTATATATGTATTTAAATTCTTAAGGCTTATATAATAATTTTATTCTAAATTTACTAGTTGGTTACTAAAGTTTTGGCCCTTGCATTCATTCTTGAAAATTTCAACCTGCTGCTCTATATAGCCCTCAAAATTATTGTAGGGACAAGAAGGGAGTATTTTAAATTTAGGCTTTCCCTTGATGGAGTGGTATACAGATCTTAAAATCAATATTGGATGCTTTTCTGGGAATTTAATACCTGCAAAGAAAATTATTTTCTTTATTAGATTTAACAATATAAATTGAGTCTACTCCTATTAATTACGTAAAAAGATTTGGCTAGCCTCCCTCGCTTCTCCCTTAATCTCATGTGAGATTTGTCTGTGTATATTTAGTATAAAACAAATAACACCCCCCGTGTTACTAAAGTGCGCATAACTGCAATAAATATTATTGTGTAGGAATCTATGAAAAAAAAGAACCGAGAAACATGGGATTTAGAATAAATAAGTCAAAGTGTTTTACATTTAAAAGGTATCTTCAACGTCGTAGTAAAAGTAGTAGAAATAAATTACTGTCTAAATCACAGAGCTAATTTATATTTATTATACTACATATTAAAGTATCACCTAATATAAAACTCGTATAATTTACCTATGTCGATTTGTAGTATCCAATGAAAATCATTCATTTCGAAAAGAAATGATGCATTGTTTGAATCATGCTCTAAAACGGCACCTTCATATTTAACAATAAGCTGCGCCAACAGTTCTCTTTTCAACCTTTCATTATTCAATACATCTTGGATCTGAAATAATACTTCATCATTATTAAAATATTGCCTTTATATGTATGAATAGGGAGCACTATATGTGCTCCCTATTCAGTTTGTGATCCTGTAGGATAAAAGAATATGCCACCTCTCCGTCTATTGTATTACCATTCATATATATAATAAGTAATGACTAAGTGAAAACAGTCTATTTGTATGTTAAGGATTTACGAAAAAACCGCTAAGGCATTATTAGGATGAAATATTCATCGCTAATATTAAAAAAAAAATGGGACCTCTAAAAAGCAATATAGCAAAATGAAGACACTGTCTATGGTCCATTTTGAGCCAGTTACATTGAATAACATGAACACGGGAAGCATTCTGCATCTGCTGTATTTTATTTTGTACGACGTAATAGACAGTCTCCACAGACTGCGTCAGCATAATTAAGCTTGGATTTAACTAAATAATCACATAGGGCGATACTTTGTAGAGTCGACGTCTATAAACAATTACTTATAAATAATAATCTCTGGACAATTTACACAACGCCATCGAGACCCAAGTTAAACGAGCTAAAGCTTGTGTTAGGGTTACTAGATCACTGATACAAATACATTTTTCGTAAATACATACATCTTATACATAGAAAATACCCAGACCGATGACCGATCTAACAATCGTACGCAGGAATACAAATGTTTATGCCGTGCGAGGAATTAGTACATAGCATTTACATTTTATAGATATATATTGCTACAATAGCTGATATAGAGCCATTTAAGCTGTTAACAAAAATAGAAATACCTACATATGATCGAACTTGCGCAATTTGTTAAAAAGCAAGAGTTGTTAAAAATACGATCCCATTTGTTTAAAAGGTTTACGTTCATGTCAGAACAGCACACGTACATAATCGAGTGTAGGGAGCACAAGGAGAATTTTTGTGCACAGGATTTTCAATCTACATAAGTTCGGTGTAAGTGTAATTTTCCAGTGAACATCTTTAATATGCTTATTCCAACTGACTATACTGTCTATCAATAATTTGAGATTTTTCACTTAAGAACTATAAGCAATATGTTGTTTATTGAAAAGAACTGGAAGTAAAGTCTGCCGGATAATTTTTATTTTTAACTACATATGCTTAGAATAAAAATTAGGTACTTCAAGTGGCCATAGGTAATGTGTAATATGTATTACTTTATGCACATGATACTGTAATTGAATACGGTTACACACAACTATGTGATGTGGTTAGGTGACTGTCGGTCCCCATAATCATCACTTAAAAATCACACTCAAATGTTTGATATATCTATGATCTTACCTTTTTATTTAAAAGTTCTGTAACCATAGGGACATAATCCATTAGAACTCCAGATTGATGCATCCTGCAAATCATGCGAAATATAATATTAAAAGATATATAAGACCCATTCCTGATATACCTAAAGATGATGCAGTGCCCTTTACTACCACCAATATTCCAAGGGCTTATTTTCATTAGTGAATTCTAGAAATGCATTAAATGTTAACTAAAGAGAATTGGCTTCACATTATATTTATTTTAAAGCATGAACAAATGTGTTTTATTACAATTATTTTATGTGATAAATATTTTTTATAAGGTGCTTAAATGAAACCAATGTTAGTGTATTACTTACAAAGGCAAAGTTATGTTTCCCAAAGATTTTGTAAGCAGTGGTGACAATATTAATTCTGCATTTGTCGAGTTTGGATACCTCACGAGAAGTAGTGCTGTGTCAATTCCAGGATTTTCTTCGGTACTGAAAAGGTAAAAAGCATACCAGCTTCACATTTTTAGTACTATGGTCTTCCTTTAAATTGTATAGATTATTACTTTTATTGTACAAAATAGTTATTGTACCAACCCATCATTGTATAATTCAGGAAGTCTAGACGTATCCACATTAAGTTTAATAAGAAATTCAACAACATGGTTTCCGACCCAAACTTCAATATCATTTTCAGTTGTTAAAGCATCACCAAGTAATGCAGTATATTCAAAGTATGCACGAGAACTTTCATCTTCATTAAGTTTTTTTATCTGTAATATAAAAGATGTCAATATATTAATATTACATATATATGTATTAACAAACTGCTGACCAAGCACAAATAGGTAAATTTTTTATTAAAATAAAAAAAAGGTCTTAATGTAAGCCTTAAAGCATAGCATGCCTTAAGCTTTTTGCATTTTCTCACTTTACTTAAAATGTTTGTTGGGTCATTCTTTTTTTTAACCTACATGATGTTAAAATTTTTACTCAAATTTCCAAAAATAAATATAAAGCATTCTAGTCAAATCTTGTATGTTTTGTGATAGCTGAATGTCTATTCTATCTGAAAAAGTTGTTGGCCGCGAAGTTTACAAATTTTTGTACGATTTTCGAGGCCTTAAAGCAGGATTGGGCGAATAATTGTACACCTCCGTCACAATTTCTTTTATTTTTTTGTATCAAATAGTTTAACTAAGATAGCTTGCAAATTACTTTTTACAATAATAATCAAATGGTCCTTTTAGAAAACTTACAAGGCAAGACTTCTGTATATAACAATAAATATATATTTTTAATCTTATACCACTCTTTTAATATATTTTTTCCGAAATTGTACTATTCATAAGAAAATATTAAAATGGCTATATAAATTTTAAAACCAGGAGACATCGTGACAAAGTGGTAGAGTATGTGACAGAGTTGTTATTCTATATAATATCCGGTTATATTTTGGAATAAAACTAGTTTTAAATGAATATTTTATTTAGAATCATTCATTACTTCTTTAGAATAATTAAATATTTGACAGTCTTACATTCTTACAACTGAAATACTCTCATACTAATAAAATCACATTGCAGAACCTTTGGAAGGAGATCCGTATTAGTATAATTAAATTATAAGACTACTGTCTCGAATAAAAAAAATGTCTAACTTGACTGAAAAATTAAAATAAAATAATAATCATCATCAACAAATTACTTTTTTCAGTCATACGTGTCCTAATCAGTCTTACTTTTTGAACACTGGCAAAAGCTCATCAAATTCAAAGAACCTTCTCTTTCCTTTTTTAACTACTTTTGGATTTGATAGAATTTTAATCAAATCCTCATACGGAACATCTGATAAGTCATTCTCCACTAATAAATAATCTTCCACAATCATCGACTGTTTTCAATAACATCGCCTATGTGACGTATGTATATTGATCATTTAATTCACTTTTTACTTTAACGAGTACATGTACACCGTCTTCTATATTCCTATGATGAAAGGCCTTGAGGTGAAGTGTTTCTTAAGAAGTATTAGAAAAGGCCGTTGGATTAGAGGAATCTTTGCTTGCATATATGTGTGCAATGGCTGATCTTCCTCAGATGATTCATACATAATATCATAAAATCTTTTTCGGGGCATCCCAATTTTGTTCGTAATATCGTGAGCGACAAATCCTCCACTTCATGAATTGCAACATCTTTTTTTTCGTTAGGAAACAACTAGTCAGAAACAAAATATTGTCAACATTGGATTCTGTTTCAGGCAGAGGCCAATAAGTTTTAGAAACGACGAACAGAATTGTTCACAAAAATAACTCAGAACCCTAAAGTTTAAGATTCCACGAGTTTCTGAGAACAGTTGGTGGATTTGCAAGGTTCCTTTCAGGGGTAAAATACTGCTTGGAATAGTCGATACTCCATTGTCTATGTCTTCGTCTGCCACCAAAAACCATTTAATTTTGCTGGTATCTTGAATGGAGAAAAAGAATTCTAACACGTCTCCGAAATATTTTCCTATTGCTACAATAGCATCAGTTTGGCGTTTCAAAGTTCCACCAAAACCATTAGCACCCTTTCCATGTCCTGATTAAAAAAAATGCAAGTTTGGTATCGTTCTTTAATGACATTGGAAAGGACACTATATTTAACATTCTTACTGTTCTTTTCATCTTTGCTATTGCTATCTTTTTTGGATTTTTGTGCAAGCTTTTCTTGTATTTTTGAACTTTCCTCTCTAATTCTTCTATTTTATCTTTTAAACTAATATTCTCTCTTTATAACTTCTCTGTGTTCTATCTCTTTTCAATCTCTTCCTCCCTCTTGAGCTAGACACTTCTGAATTAGTTGGTGTTGCAGAATGAGGACGTATTTCTGGATGGCGATGGAGCCAGCGTGTTCAACAGTATGTTTTCAAGCGTCTGTTTTTTTTCTTTTCTTGTCGCTATTTTCTCTTCATCATACGATGTTCTCTCACAGTCATGTCAGCCACAAGCTTCTTACGAGTATGATATCTCTCTAGATGTTTGCGTTTTACTTCAGCTACCTTTTCTGTATAACTTTTTCGTATCTTACGGCAACGCCTCTGTTTTTCTGCTGTTAATGACTTCTTTTTCGTCATAATAATATCTTGAGAAAGAAAATATGTAAATAAATCCGTAAACATTGTTTTATATGATATTTTAAAATAATATGCAGTCTATATTTTATATTTAATATTTATTAGGAAGCTTATAAACTTACACAATGACAGATAATTAACAAGAGAGAAAGTAACATTAATAGATTAATCAACATCACACATTGACATTGACATTGACTTTGACATACTTCACCTTCCCCTTTAGCTTACAATCTAACACCCTTCTAGGCTTAGTAGTTCTACCATATCTAGTAGTTACACTTAGTGGTACTTGATTCCTACAGGTTATTACAGGTCTAGGTGAAATGGGAACATTTAGATTTATATCAGTTCCTGATCAAAATCTTCATTATAATTAGATAAAAAAGGATTGAGTTTATTTGCACTTTTACAATCTGAAAAAGATTTCTTTATATGTTTAATATTCCTTCTTATTTTCCTATCTTCTCCCTCCTTTTGTATCCAATAAGATCTAGGTTCTTTACATTTTCCCACAATAATACCTTTTCTCCAAAATTTGTCTTTATCAGTCTTATGAACTACCTTATCTCATATTTTATATTCCATTTCCTTTTTCTTAACAAAGTTTTCTTTTGACATAGGCAAGTGTACAGTAACAGAGTGTACTATTTGTGACATTTGATTATCATTTTCTGTAATACTTAGACAATTTCTTGATAACATGTCAGCGAAATGTAATAACTTTCCTGGTACATAATATACATTCAAATTATATGTAAATAATTTTAATCTTAACCGTTTCAAACGAGGAGATCCTATTTTACAAACTGGTTTTGACATAATTGATACAATTGGTTTGTGGTCTGTTTGAACATCAACATTACAACCATAAACATATCTATGAAACTTTTTTATACCAAAACATATTGATAATAATTCTTTTTCTGTCTGACTATAATTAAGCTCTGAATCATTCATAGATCTAGATGCACATGCTACTAACTTTAATATATTTTGATCATTATTCTGAAATAGACAACAACCTAATCCACTTTTACTTGCATCACATTGTAAAATAATTTTCTTTTTGGGGTCAAAAGGTGTCAAAGATGGTGCTGAACATATTTTTCTTTTCAGCTCAGTAAAAGTAAGACTATGAGCAGGTAACCATGTAAACTCAGAATTTTTCTTTAATAATTTGAAAAGTGGTGCCATTATATTTGCCATGTCAGGCACATACCTTCGTACATAATTGAAAGATCCTAATATTTGTCTCAACTCATCTCTATTACTTGGTTCTTTTAAATTAACTAATGACTCAACTCTATCCTGATCAAGTGACATTCCATATTCATTAAAAACTTGGCCATCCCATTTGTTTAAAAGGTTTACGTACATATTTAACCTCTCTTTGTTTATATTGAAATTTATTTTTATTGAAAACAATACCTAATTTCTTTGCTTTCTGGATTACACTCTGCAATGCTAAATCATGCTCTTTTTCAGTGTTTCCCATTACTAAAATATCATCAGCCCAAATAATAACATTTGACAACTCTGAAAAATGACTTTCAAGTACATCCTGAAATAATTCTGGTGCATTCATTAAACCATATGGTAAAACAAGATATCTATAAACTCCATAAGGTGTAGCAAAACAACACTTCCAAGATGACTCCTCAGACAAACTTAGATGATGAAAGCCTTCAGTTAAGTCTAAAACAGAGAAAAACTTCTTACCCTGTAATTTAAAACTTAAATCCTCCAATGTGGGTAAACATTTAGGATAATTTTTTTTTTACAATAATTTTATTTAAGTCTAATGGATCGAGACATAACCTAACTTTACGATTTGGCTTCTCTACTATTACCATTCTGTTTATATATGCATTTTCACTAATATTATTAACTTTAACAATTGATTTTCTCTCTACTAATCTATTTAGTTCTGCTTTTAAAGGTTCAAGCAAACAAGATGGTAATCTCGGAGAAGGATGACAAATATATTCTTCTGTAGGTCTGGTAGGAATTTCAACTTTTCCTGGCAACCTTCCTATTCCTTCAAAAACTACTATATTATTATTTACAAATTTATCTTTATCATTATTTGTCACCTGAACACTATGAATTCGTTTCACCAAATTTAATGAGACACATGCCGGCAAACCTAAAAGTATGTTACTTGCTTCAGCTATGACAAAATTCTCATTACATATTTTATTTTTATACTTGCATTTAAGATTTACAATGCCTATTGGCTTAATATTTTCTCCAGTAAAAGATTGTACTGTTAACTCTGTCTTCTGAATTTTACAATTTAACTTATAATTTAATTTATCAAATACACTCTTTGGCAGAATACTCACATCCGCTCCTGTGTCTAGCTTGCACTTAAAAATTTTGTCCTCTATTTGTATATTTTCTTCCCACTCACTTCTAATCTTTTTTATATTTGACAACACTACTCCACTAAATAACTCTTCATTTGATGAATTTGATTTATTACACACAGCTTCACTTATTTTCTTCACTTTACAGCTCACTGCGAAGTGATTTAATATACCACATTTTGCACATTTTTTCCCATATGCAGGACACTCTCTCGGACCATGCTGACTTTTACAACGACGACAATCAAATTTATTATTTATATTTCTTTGAAACTTCTTCTCAGTTCTTTTATTTCCATAACTCTTTACTCTATCTACTTCAATACAGGTTGGATTCATTTCCATTACTTGAGAACGACTAGCTTCTGCTGCTCTGCATCTACTTGTAGCTTTGTCCAACGTCAAGTTCTCGACTCGGAGCAAACTTTCTTGTAATTGTTTATCGAAAATGCCTTGAACGATACGATCTCTTAGTAAATCATCCTCTATAGACTCTATATAATTACAATTTACAATCAGTAACCTTAAATTAGTGTAAAAACTTTCAAAATTTTCACCTTCCAATTGTTTTCTTTCATTAAACTTGTACCTTTCAAAAACGTCGTTAGATTTAGGCTTGACATAATTCTCAATTTCTTGTAACACTTTATTGTAGTTTTCACTATCTTCCTTTGATAACTTAAACGATAATATGATTTTCGTCGACTCAGGACCCATCATGTTCCTCAGCAGAGATAATTTAATTTGGTCTGTAGCCTTGTCACTACCGACAGCCACTAGATAATCTATAAACATGCTTTTCCAAGCTCTCCATTCAGTTGCTGCAGATTGAGCTCGAATGTCGAAGTTTGGGGGCAATTTCACCCAGCTACGCTCCATGTTGTTTGAAATTTTAATCCGTAGTAAGCTTCAGATTTGATATCGTTATAGCCGAAATACACTGTTTAGACTTACAGTAAATACCACTGCGCCATGTTTTATATGATATTTTAAAATAATATGCAGTCTATATTTTATATTTAATATTTATTAGGAAGCTTATAAACTTACACAATGACAGATAATTAACAAGAGAGAAAGTAACATTAATAGATTAATCAACATCACACATTGACATTGACATTGACTTTGACATACTTCAAACATTAGAAAAACACTAGATAAACTTTATATCGAAATAGTTGCCATAATAAGTACTGGCCCTGTTTCAACAGATTCTTATATTTTATGACATAAAATAAATATTATATTCTTTGCAAGTATTTTTTACCCATCCGTCACGTACTTTAACACTCCGTCACAATTTTATTGTGACGAAGTAGTAGCGTGACGGAGGGGTAAATCTTACTTACAAAATTATTAATATTTAAACGTTACGACAAAATACAAACGTAACAGGTTGGCATGAAAGTGTTTCTTATTACGCAAAAGTTAAATAATAAGAAGTAACTGTAATTGATATATTATTGTCCAATACTTACGTGACGAAGTTGTCGCCGAATAAACACACGCACCTCCATACACAGATTCCGGGCGACTTACGCGCAATCTCTAAGTCCTAGAGAGCTTATCTCAGCAAGGGATAGGAAGGACTAAATATCGAATCGACGGCAACAAAAGTGACCCTCGTATACGCGTCGCTCGAATTAAAAAACATGTGACCGAATATATCTATTAAAACAGTCTGTAGTGAAAGACAAGACTTAAAGATTTTTCTATTTTTTTTACTAAAAATGTCAAAAAAATTTAGTCAGTACAACAAAATGAATTAACTATATCTTGTAGAATAAAAAAAATACTTTTATATTTTTTCGTACCATTATGAATTAAACACAGGCTCAGGTAGCGAGAGACAACTATGATTTGTATGAAATACACCTCTGTCACGCGGATTGATGACTCTGTAACGTATTTTTTAATATAAAAATATAAATGTTTATTTATTGTGAATGTGTATAGCCGTTACATTTTTAGTACAGTACATATTGAAACATTTTTTTTTTTTTTTTCTCTCTCTCTCTATCTGCGATCAGCCCTTCCGGCTATAATCAGATTTTTTGAAGTTATTGGCTTTTTGAGATGAGGCCCCTCCAGTAAGGTGCCATCTCATTTACTTTCTTTCTTTAGATGTTGGCAAGGCGAGCTCTTTTTAATCTAGATGGACAGTTATTTATATCCAGTAGGTTTGAAGCTAACTGGTTCGGGGCGGCTAATCTGTGTTTATATCTTCCACAGGCTTTCTGTATCTCTTCTTTTACAGTTGGAATTTCTAGATGTGTATGTAGTTCAATGTTTTTTATGAACCAAGGAGCTCTGGCTATGGTTTTTAATGCCTTGTTTTGGAAGTGCTGAAGAATTTCTATGTTAGAGTGTGAAGCTGATCCCCATAGTTCCATTGCATATGTCCACACTGGTTTTATGATGCTCTTATAGATGAGGAGTTTGTTTTCAGGGGACTTAATTTAGACTGTCTACCTATCAGCCAGTACATGTCTTTAAGTTTTCCACCAAAAACCATTTAATTTTGCTGGTATCTTGAATGGAGAAAAAGAATTCTAACACGTCTCCGAAATATTTTCCTATTATCAGCTTGGTTTTTTTTTGCTTTTATGTGGTCTCTCCAAGTAAGTCTTCTGTCCAGATGCATTCCGAGATATTTTACCACCGTTTGTTGTGGCAAAATAGTTCCATCTAAGGATACTGGTGTGCAATTTCCTCTTTTCAATGAGAATGTGATATGGACCGACTTTGTGGTGCTTTTGAATTCTCCACTTATTCAACCATTCTTTAATTCCATTCAGATGCTTCTCTCTGTAGATGCAATATGTGGGTCTCTATTACATGACAGCACTGCTGTGTCGTCTGCATATGTTGCTGTAACTATACCATTAGTAGTGGGAAGGTCAGCAGTATATATTGTGTACAATACTGGGCCAAGGACAGAACCCTGTGGCACTCCGGCTTTTATTTCAAAATAATCTGATAGGTGATCTTCATACTTAACATGAAATATCCTATGTTGTATATAGGACTTTAAGAGCATATAAATGGTGTTCGGTAATGAGGTTTTTAATTTATAGAACAAGCCTTTGTGCCACACGCGGTCGAATGCCTGTTGTACATCCAAAAATACTCCTGAGCAGTATTCTTTTTTCTCTAGTGCTTGTCTAATTGTATGTGCGACTCGGTGTATCTGTTCCGAAGTTCCATGATGTGCCCGGAAGCCAAATTGGTGTTCTGGTACTATATTTTTCTCCTCAAGCACTGGCAATAATCTTTTCAATAGTATTTTTTCAAATAATTTGGATATTGCTGGTAGTAGGCTTATTGGTCTATATGACGATACTTCAGTGGATGGTTTTCCCAGTTTAAGAACCATATTTATTATAGATACTTTCCACAATTGTGGAAAATAAAAGTCTCAACTGCATTAAAGAGAATTGTTAGTAAAGCTATTCCTGTTTTGGGCAACTGTTTTAGTACTTCAGCTGTTATTAAATCGAAGCCCGGTGCCTTATTATATTTTAGCTGATTTATAGTCATTCTTACTTTTAAACGTAACTGATTTTAGAGGTAAGGACATTTGTTGGTCACTGTCAAGTATTTTATCAATTTCTGCTTCTGTATGCATATCATCTGATTCATTTGGTATAAATACTTCTTTACTTTGCAAATAAATCAGCTTTATCTCTAGGTTTTAGCCCAGCTTCCATTTGTTTTTTTAAGTGGGGGTATATGTTCTTTCGGTCTCTTTATAAATTTAGTTATTTTCCAAAGACTATAGTCATCTGCTTTATGTGGGGATAATGTCATCAATTTATCTTGGATTGTGTTGTTTTCGTTTTCTCTTAACATTATTTTTAATAGTTTTTGAGCTTTATTAAGTGCTCTTTTATCTTGAGGGTTTCTGCTTATATGCCACTGTCTCCTCAGTTTTCTTTTTTCTGATATCATATTTCTTATTTCTAGTGTCGTATCTTGGCTCTTTATTTTAGACTCGGTATAAGGTGTTGATGACCATGCTGCTTTTTGGATCAGGTTTGTGACATACCAGGCTGTTTCTTCTACATCTTCTTCTGTTTTTAGCGGTATATGCAGGTTTGTATTTTCATGGATATAGTCTTTAAAGGATTCCCAATCGGTTTTATAATTATACAACGTTTCTTTCGGTTCCTGCCTGATATATTGAAACATTAATAATAAAATAATATGGATAATTTTCGATTATATTTTTTTAACTGATGAAGACACCTTTTTGTAGGTTAAAAAGAAGAACGACCCTGTTTCAAATGAATAAGCTAAGAGTATTTTCAGTGCTCAAAGGCAAACTAGTATTTGCCTTATGTTAAATATGAGTATAATTATCTTATAATTAGTTGCTAGACATTAACATGGCTAGCTTTTATTTGGTGGAGTTCTTAACAAAGTTTGCTTTTCCACAACTGTATGAAATGGTTTAGTAAAAATTATGTTTGCCAGAATTATAAGTAAAAATTTGTAGCATGAACCACATATAATACTCATGGAGAGCATGTAATTTTATATAAATAAAAAAATATGTGTATTGGTTAGCTAAATATTAGTTAGGAACTCTTGGGATTGTAATATTAAATTGAATTAAAATACAAGAATGCCACTTTCCATACCTGATAGTTTTTATATAAAGAAACTAATTCTGAGAGAACATAACTGAGTGCCTTAGGATTATTTTCATTCCAAGCACATAAACTCGGCAATTTTTCTTCTAAAAATTCCTCATCGACATTGCTTAAAAAACTGTCATCATCAAATCTGAAGTCAGGTGCAAACCAAGGAGTAGTTGGGTCAAATATAATTTCCCATTTTATTTTTTTAGAGCAATAGGGCAATACTAATCGTAATTGGCTGTCTGTTAAATCAGAACCAGCTATTTTTTCCAGATCAACTCTAGTCTTACATAAACCTAGAAACAAATATAACATTATTATTGATTATTATTATGTTTAATTCTGGTTCTAGAATCTATCATAAATTACTTTTTATTACTTAAAATACTAGGATCATGTAATAAAAATGATTTATGGATTTAAAATTTAGGAGCTGCTCCTGTGGAATTGAGATCACTATTTGAAATGGTAAACAAATGGATTAATCATTCACTGAAAACAGTAACCATGTGGCATCAAATGAATTGCCTTTTCAGAGGACCATGGTCTTATCCATTTAACTATACTTATGTTTTAAACCAACAGATTGGCAGTATGGACCCAAGCTAATAAATTTATATAATTATTGCCTTTGGCTTAAAACTAAATTTATGGTGTCCTAATGCTGTAAAACAGCTAAAAGCCTTCAATAAAGGTTATGCATATACTTTATAATTTCACACTTAATTTTTTTGACCACATCTCCATATATGTGGTACAACTACTGGTTGGTATATATCTTTAACCTGAAGAAGCACCAATTCGATTCTACATAGTTATTCATTATTATTATATATTATCAGGCAAATTTCTGAATACTTATATATATAATAATATAATAAATGGTACTTTTATTATTTTAACCATTCTGTCTGAAATTCAAACCTTTAGCAGAAATTTTAATATGTAAAAATACTTACGGTTCTCAATATATTTGTTATAATGTTACTTACCAAGTTTCAATTCTTCATAGACATTTTGTATGTAAGGACGAAAAATAGGAGATACGTCATTTAAAACTCCAATACATTCCGAAGCCATTAGAGATTGGTAAAATGTATTGAATAAATAAAATTACTAAAATTATAGATTAAAGGTATTCAAATTTGTTACTCAAGTTTTATAGTAATTTTGGCTTTGATTTGACTCATTTTGTTTACAAATTACTCTATGCTTTTCGCCCCTATAGTATCTATAGAAAAGTCTCTCTGTGTGAGCCACTGAGCAAGTAACCACTACGAGCCGACACCTTAATGAAACGAACGCTATGAAAAATTATATAGACAATAAAAACAGCTGTTTTATTAGAAGAGTAAGAAAAACCGTAGATACACAGGTTCATACAATTTATTTAAATTTTATTTGTTTTTCTAAAATATCGATTAGTAATAAATCGACTTTTGGAATATTAAAATCAATCAAATAAGTCGAATATTTGTACGATAGTAATCGAATTTTCTATTATCGAATACATTTACACATCCTTACCTGAGTGAGAAACTGCTTGCGGCATAGGTGTTATCAGTTTTCATTCTATTATTAAACAAACAATTACTATTTTTATAAAGGAATCTTAAACCTTTATCATTATTTTACATATTGTTCAATTTGTGCATTGTTATTTAATTTAAAGTTAAATAATTTCGCTACGCGTTGACTTCAGTGTATTCAAAATTAAAATGTTAGAGTAACAAATAAAAAGCAAAGGTAGCTTGCTAAAAGGCGTCTATATTTTGCTAGACACTTATTATTTTATAATACACCTACATATGTGGAACAAAATATGAAAGATATGAATTCGTCTATACAAAACACCGCTTCTGACTTAATAAAATTAGCAAGAAAATTCAACTGTTTCTATTTAGGAGGTATGTTGAGTAAAAGAATATATGTTTCGGAAAATAGTAATAAAGTTAATATAGTATTTATAAAAGTGTTTATGTTGTAGGTTTGCATCGAGGAACATGTAAACCATTTCTAGTGGCTGGTCACCAAGTGGGTCTAATTAGACCAAACGTGATGAAATATCTACAGAGATTTCCTGAGGTAAATAATTAAATATGATAATAATTAAGATCTAATTAACATTATGCTTTGTTTTACATAATAATGTAAACAAGCCTTTATCTAGATAAAGTTCAAAGTGCTACTTAAAAAACAACAAATAGGTATAAATAAAGAAGTAATTATTTTGTCTACACTGTCCATATTTAACTTTAGATCTATATTAATTTGTTTTAGTTAAATATCTCAGTTATTATATGTCTTGTATTGTCTATATTACTGTAGATATCTAAATATTTAAATGTGGGGGGATTGTTATAATGTGCACTAATGACCCCATTGAACGCCTGATCTTGTCAGGTTGACCTCCATGTGCTTCTCGATTTTCTTCTACTGTAACTTACCTCATGCCTATCTTATCATCTTTAACTGAAATTGGTTATCAATTTAAAAAATATGTGTATTTATTGATAACCATAATGATGAATGAATTTCAGGTATTTAATATAACTGATAAACATGTGGAATTGAATCCAGCCTTCCGAGACTATAAACAAAGGACAATGAGAGTTGCAGAGGTATTGCAAAATTTAAGAGTGGAAAATGAAATTTGTGCCCTCAAAGGTTGGCGTGATGAGGTTTGTAGATTAATAAATTTAATGTATTTTATATCAGAAGTTCATATGATACATATGTCTTAATGAAAGTGCTTTTAAAACAGAATATTAATAATAATAATAATCTAAAGCTTGTGTTATGAGTACTAGACAACTGATACAGATACATAGATATTTATTTTATGTGAATACATACATATCATACATAGAAAACACCCAGACTAATACAAACAATCATACTCATATATTGACTGTAATGTTACATTAAATATTACATCTTTGCACTATATGTTTTTAAAACATTTGTTTTTATATAACAATTTCCTCTTTTGTTGAGTAAAGTATTAGTTATAGATTATTATTTTATTTGTGGAAAGATGTTTCATCTATACATCTATACATATAAATAAAATTAGAGTGTCTGTTTGTAATATAAATATGGTACAAAAACCAATAGTTTTTTTTACAATTTTTGTTGGGACTTGATGGGACTTGACGGGACTGTTTGACGGGATTTTCATTGGCAGGTAGCTGATGTAAAAAGGAGAAACTTAGGCTACTTTTATTGTAGAAAATAAAGTTAAATTCCACGCACACGAAGTTGCGTGTAGAGGTAGTTGGATAATATATTTAAATCAAAGTATCCAAAAGAAACTATATTTTAAAACTATATATACATTGAGCTTTTCTATTTGAATACTAATATCTACTGAAATATTACATCATAAAATCCAGTACATATTAGGGCCCCTGCCTCTCCAAACTCTTTGTTAATATATATCATTGTCACTCTTTGTCGACCCTCCACTTCTCTTGGAATGGATGCATGGATGGTTTGTCTCTATCAGCATTGTGTTTAGAAATTTAGGCCTGTTCCAGAATAAGCACTTATATTTTCAAATATTTTTTGGTTAACAGGAATGCCGTGGTTTGATGGCACTCGCGCATGATAAGTCTCGGGATGTTAAATGATAACCGTCTCTTATATACATGAACAGTACTATGGTCATCATGTTGTCATGTGATACCAATGAGGCGTTGCCACTTACAATGCCAGATTGTTACGTATTTTTTCAATTAGATGTATTTAAAATATGAAAATATAAAAATGTAGAAGCGCATATATGTATAGTGTATAGTACTTATGGAAAATAATTTATTTATTAAATAAATAATGGTATTAAATTAAAATCTTTTTTACCTATACTGCAGTGTTTCGAAGTAAGTACGCCATTCTATCACGAAAGCTTATTGGAAATGGACCGGAGTGCTATTTGTTTATTTGGAATTAGAAATTATGGCGTTAGTGTTACTGGCTATCTATATCATCCTACCAAAGGTTTATGCATTTGGTTGCAACAACGAAGCTTCACAAAACAAACTTGGCCTGGTGAGTATACTCATATATTCTATTTAGTGTAATTCTTTTATTTTTGGCAGTAATTGGAATAATGGATGATCAAATATGAGATGATGTCTTACTTTCCCCGTTTATACATAATTTATCATTGTAGATCCGCTCCTATTACCGGAGTCAATTTATCCATTTTTTAATTTTCCTAAGTCTCATCTATAGTTATAACAAAATTAATCAAAATTGGTTCTATGGTATAATCGTGAAGACGTAACACAGATACACAGTTAAATAACTCGTTCTATATGGTGTAATGTGTATTGATTGATTGAAACTAAGCATTTTTGATGATGATTCCACTAATATATATAATAAACGCTATAGTTTGTAAGGATAGTATTTTAGTATCTCGCACTCGGTTTGTCGTCGTCATAGTTATTATATTTGTCAAAATGATATAGTGTGAAAGACAAAGTTTTATCAATCTTAGACACCTTTTATCTGCTTTAGATACCAGAAGCGTTAAAAGTAATTATTTTGATAAGGATCAATATGTTACGACCAAATGTGCATTAGAAATAATGTATAAATTTTTATTGTATTTATGATTCACGATTTTGGCGATAATGGCTTACACATAAAAGATAGATAGATGTTGTCGCGTATCTATTCGTAGATCTATTTAACAGATACATTTTCGCCATACATCATATTTCTGTGTTACGGTTTTTGTAGCCTGAATGCCGCGCAGATGAAAGTTTTTTTTTCCAACTCACTTCACATTTCATAATTACATTTCGCCCAAATTATATAGTATCTTTCTAAATTCTAGTCTATGTCCCTTCTCACTTCCGAGACTACCTCTGTACTAAATTTCATTTAAATCGGTTCAATACATAGTTGTAGTGAAATAGTAATAGACCGACAAATAGACAGAGTTACTATCGCATTTATAATATTAGTAGGGATATCACTACATAGTATAAAACAAAGTTGCTGTCGTTGTCTGTCCGCGTATGTATGCTTGAAGCTTTAATACTACCCAACGGATTTGAAACGGTTTTTTTAATAGATAGAGTGATTCAGGAGGAAGGTTTATATATATAATACAAGCATAAAATTGTTAGAGAAACACTGATAAATTTAGGGGTTTCTAATGTCAGGTCGTAAATAAACATATTTTTTGCGTTTACATTGCAAACGCTGGCCGAACCCTAAGAGATAGATCAAAATAATATAACGAACGTAAATTTACTTTCATCATCATTACCTATATTAATTACAAGATCTGTTTCCATTGAAGGGAATTGAAGGGAAACAGTTCTTACAAAGCTAGCTGCAGCTGCTTGGCGGCTGAAATAAGTAAAATAAGAGTTCCACCCACATTGACGCAATTGAAAATTCTTATTATTCTCTGTGATGATTTAGTATCAGTATACATACATTATACATATATATATATGTATCTATTTTTACTGTAATAGGCAAATGGGATTGTTTTGTGAGTGGAGGACTTGCTGTAGGCTATGGAATACTGGAAACCACAATCAAAGAAGCTGCAGAGGAAGCGTCTGTAGAAGGAGAATTAGTAAAAAAATTGGTTCCAGCTGGATGTGTTAGGTAAGAAACTATGACACGTTATGTTATAAAGAGATGGATTATGATTTAGATTTATTTAATTAGAGCCTTTTTTAGTAGATGATAATGAAATGTTGCATACGCCTGTACGACCCGTCTTTGCTCGCGTGGTATCAATATAAGATGATAGCCTAAAATCAGATAACAGCTCATTGTGGGAAATTCATAGGGGATTAATCACTAGTCTTTGTAGAGGGGAACGTGTAAACGCGCGATCTGACTATCAATGATAGCCATAACGGCAATAGTCTCCATTATTAATAATCCGGTACATTAATGTTATAACCACGGATATTTATAACTAACCCTATCATAACATCCAATTGAATTGACCATTGTGTTACGAAATAGAAATGATTAATTGACGTGCATATTGTTAAAAATATCCCATGAATAAATTAGTTCAATGTCCTGTGAATTATTGCAAAAATATAACTTTGTTGAAAAATTAAACGTAGCTCACTACTATACAGATAACTATTTTAACAGTGTGTAAGCGACTGTACAATAGTTCTCTGTAGTTTATTATAATTTTAAAATTGGATAAATTTTAATTTATCCATTACAAAGAAAACAAATCAAATCTTTTCTATATGTAATTATATTAATTAGTAGCTATTTTATGATAACAATAATTGTGTTGGTTGATTCATTGCAGTACAGAAAAAAAACGAATGTGTTTACGACAGCGATAATAATTATGAGAACATGAATAAATAATAAACTAGCACACGATTCCAACCGTTATAAGTTATATAAATTGAATAGTTATTATCTTTATAGATAATATAATATTCCGCAATAAGGGCGTTAATATATCCAATATGTACTTGTTACAATATTACTTTTCAGTTGAAATGAAATTAATTTAATAAAATTGTACAAATATTAAAAAGATGGTATCATTACTAAAATACTAGTATTTCGATATTTTTTTTTATATAATTTTACCTGTTTTAGGTATTAGAAAGTATACATACAATTTTGTATAAAAATATCAAATCGTTACCTGAAACAGAAATTCTATGTTACTTATTTCCTAACCGCCTGAGTCATTCTCAACTCAACTTAATTTATATGTATAGTATCTGCGATTTTTTTTTTGGTATAGACATTAAATGTCGGGCTTATGTTGTTTCCGAATTTCAAGCATATCTTTAGTATTACCACAGATAATATAATATTACATACAGATACCCCATCCCATACAAGAAAATGGTTCCTTCCTAACTCGGGCTATTCTTCGGGCTATTTTATTTCGCCGCCGTAGGCGCTAGATGTCGCTATATCTGAAGCAGTTCGGATTACTAGTGGGTGATTAGTAATAAAGCATGAAAATAGATGGCAGAGAATTCGGTCTACATGACATCTGTTTTGCAAAGATACGTACATAATAGATATATAACTGTATCGAACTCCTGATTGGGTACAATCGAAAATTCAATGTAGGTATAATATTGTTCGCTGACAGTCTACAGACACGGCTAATGTACCTATGTATCTATGTACTATGTTACAGTTACTTTTTTACATGCCTACTTTTTTCTCCCGACGAAGATATGTCGTAACGCGTCTGCACTAAAATCGGGCTATCGGTTAAGGAGCAATAGCTCCTTAACGAATAGCCCGATTTTAATACGGTTTTTTTTATTTAAATTGTTATGTGATAGTGATAGATTTTAGCTATAATCAATTGATGTGCATATGGGTACCTCATATAATTTTCAGTATATAATTATTTCTCAATATGTAGTTAATTATGGTAAACTGGCAATTTGTAAAACTGAAAATAATACCTGCACACCATCAATCTGTTATATGTAGGTTCTTTCAGGGATACTACATCGGTGCTAATGACATGTAGGTACTTATTTTGATGTTATACCTATTTGTAGAACCTTCGATATCTACAAACTACGCCTTTACTGCTAGTTTTTTGGTATTTATGTAAGTTGTTATTCAGTTGAAATTAAGCTGCGAGATTACAGGATATTTGGACATAACATCTATGTTCTCCGGAATGATAACGTATGCGGGATATAGCGGGCACGACATAATGACGTAATGCTGTTTAATAATATATGTGTATGTATGTACGTCGGATAGCGTCGTGGTTGGATGGATCGTCAGCTTATTTACCATTTCAGTTCATAATAGTAGGTAGTAACTTTTGACAATATGGATGAAGGAGGGTAACGGTGATGACGATGAGATCAATAATGACTGTTGACGAGTGACGGTGGTATTTATTTATGACCACCATAAAATTCATCATTGGCAGTATTCTCAACATTATCATCATGATGATTGAGATCAAATTAATTAATTGATTAAAAAAGTAGCAAGTATTAGGTAGGTACTAAGTCCTTACATGACTTAAATACAAGGTTCTGGGATGCTGTGATATACTAGAGTCTCTAGATTTTGTTTCTTATTAGTATTCCACAAACAAAGTCTATAGACAGAGAAATATAGATTGACACAAAGTTTTTTGATGTAAATGGGAATTATTATACACATTGCATTAAAAAATATATATGATTACTATCTAATACAAAATCATTATGTAGTAAATAATTCCTGACATTTTAAATCGAATGAGGTGAAACTAACATTGCATGAACACAACACTTGAAGATCATAATTTTTATTTCAGGTAATAAAACACTTTTAAATAATTTATTAATCACAGAATAAACAATTGTTAATAATTTACAATAATATTTCTTTCACTGCTTGACTGTTATACCACTAAAACTTCAAACACTTCTGTTATTTTTATATTATATTCCAAATAAATCAATATCAAGACATAATATTTCATCAAAATCATTTCATAATTAATTCCTGGTACACAAAATATTCCTGGATTTGTTGATGAAGCAATATAATAATAATCATGAGCTTAAATCATAAACTTATTTGCAGTCGGTTACACATAATATAATTACTTGGAATTTCTTCTCATCACTAGTCCGTTGCTTTCTTACTTATTTAATTATATAATTAATTGCATTGTGATTAATAATTTACAGATTTTTCTTCTGCTTTTTTCTCTTATTTTTACTTGCATTATTATTTTATACAGTAAAATGTTCATATATATATATATATTTCTTATTCTTTTGAACTCCTGTTCTTTACAGTAAAAATGTTATTTTTCTTCATCTGAATGACTAGGAGATTTAGAATATCATCTCTTATTTGTTTAAACTTTGTTCAGTATTAAGTTGTTGATGTCAGGAAAATCTGAAAACAATATCATATACCATGTTACATTTTCATGAACTTACATGAATGAATTTACATGAAAGTAACTAAACTGTAACCTTATTAGCACAATAAACATATTATTCATACATCATATTCATTCAGTTCTAATAAAATATAAAAATAATACTACTGTTTAGTACTTTATTTTGATTAATAATTTTCAGTATTTTCTCAATCAATCAAAAATTATAAAATCAGTGTTAGTTTTTTGAAGTTACATTCATAACAATAATAAAAACATAATAATACCACATTAAAGCGGTCACCAAGTACCTATGTTTATTATATTTTAATATGAAAGATACACACGCATACATATGCAAGTTTTTAACAACTTATAGTTATACCTGGTATGAGATAATCCTCAAAGACACGATAGTTTACTAAATATTTGTAGTAGTCCTTAGACACATTTAAATTATTGAGTTTGACAAAAAAAATAAGAAGTTCAATGAACTCTGAACAGGAACAATTCAAAAGTTGAAGTACCTACTTAACTTAAATGATGAAAAAAGTGAAAAAATCCAATGCTAGTGAAAATGTGTTTTAAGCATTTGACTTAAAGTCCTATTCTTTTATTCCTATATTTTATATTTTTAACATTTCATTTATGTTGCCAGTACTCGTTGTCATTTCGATATAATAAAAAAATATGGACCAACCTACGATTTTAAATCGATATTTTTATTTGTGATGAAATCTAATAATATAAATTATGAATAACCTACCCTCGAATGGAGATATTAAAAAACTAATTATCATGAATAGTAGGTACTAGGATCAGTAATATATCATAGTATTATGAATGATTATCGTTTCAAAACCTTGTACAATTTAGTAAGGTTGAAAATATCCTTCTACAAAAATTCGAGTATTTGTAAAGTTTCTTATGAGTATTTTTAAAAATTCTAGGATCCTCATATTTAGCTATCAATGTCAGTAATTTAGATACCATATAACACTTGTTTATTGAGGTTTCATAAAGGTATAGCTGACCTTATATACTCTATACCACATTCAATTCTCATTCATTAAATTACAATAAGTAGGTATTTATTTTTTTTAATAGAAGAACTATGTCACTAATGTCATTAATTGCTATAATTACCAGGGTGACCGCGTGGAGGTTGATATAATAGAGTACACTTGTATCAGATCAATCTAATTAATATTTCCCTCTTCAAGTTTCGAAGTTATGAGCGAACAGATAAATATATAGTACTTGCATACCTGTCAAAATCTCTCTATTTTGCCGTCGTCGAGTAAAAATTATGCATTGCAATTCGTTCCAAATAAGAGTATAATACAAAATGATGAAATTTTACTGTTTGCAAAGACTAATTAAAAGCACCATCGAATAATGCGTTGTAATATCTTGTTATCGATTATTCGAAAAAATCGATAAATCTATGCATTTATTTTTAATATGGCAACACTTTCTAAATAAGTATTACTGGAATAATATGGTTTTCTTGTTTAGCTGTTTTATATTTATTTAAACTTTTTTTATGTTTAATTTATCATAATAATATAGTAAGTACTTATTATTTGAAAATATAAAATAAACATTTAAAATACGGTGATACAAATGAAAACAGCGCCATCTATGAAAGTATTTTGGAAACAATAAGCCCCAATTAGCAATGATTAAATTGTAAACAAATACAGGGCAACAACAAAATGAGTAAATATATGAAAATTACTTTTCAAAACGCATTATTTCATTTTAACATCTATATATGACTTTTTAAAAATAGATTAAACCTTTTTAAAAACATAGTTTTGGGTTTTAAACGATTACAAAACAATGTTGAATTCCATTCGATACCAATGACGCCATCTAAATCCGTTTTTCGAACTAAAAATGGCTACTATGCCATTGATCCCCACTGGTATTACCATTCCATTTTTTTTTCAGCTTTTATTTTGAAAGTGAAAGGGGATTATTTCCAAATACCGAATATGTGTACGACCTTGAATTGCCATTGGATTTTGCACCTCGCAATGCTGACGGGGAAGTGGAATGTTTTGAATTGCTAACTGCAGAAGAATGTATACAACGGGCACTGTCACCTCAATTTAAAACTACTAGCGCTCCAGTATTACTTGACTTCTTGATACGAAGGGGATACATAAATCCTGAGAATGGTAAGATTAACTATAATTAAAGCAAAATTTTATTTATCTTAAATTTAAATTTATTCTGTCTACACTCGGCACCCTTCCAATAGTTTACGTATCCACATAACATAGATTTAAGGTCAGTATAAAGTCAGTAAAGCAATACGACTCAGCGTTGGGTGTACGGCTGTACGCTTTACTAATGAGCCATGTATCGCACTATCAAAAAACTTGCTAATGTAGTACAATCATTCCACCTGTATAATCACTACCTAGATATACAACAGGAAATAAATAAATTAAGTAGCGACACCTTATCACATCCTATATAATGCTTGCTATAGTGGTGATGTGATAACTATCGCGTTACAGTACAAAGTTTAATTTCAATAAAATATGTAGAGGTTAAATAATTAAAATAAAAAACCAAGACATAGTCTAGAAAAAGTCGACTGTCGACCTTAGTCTCACTTATTACAGACGCCAAGTAGTTTGTTTTGAAAGCTGTTTTCAATGAAGGGTCACTTAGGATAGGACTTAGGATAATGCAGTGAAATTACAGGATAAGAAGCATGACATTTTAGTCTTCCAGAATGGCAACACACGAGTGAGTGGTGTCACGAGCGTTACATGATCATGTGTTGTAATGCTGCTCATGTATACTGTGTGACGGTTACCACTTACCATCCGGTGGGCCGTTTGCCCGTTTACAGCAGCAACGTCTAATTGTATAAATTTATAATCAGGAGTATCACTGTTTGAATTCTATTCTATTTGTTTGAGTTAAATTGAAAATATATGTATTTATAGTTGCTGAAACTAGGGAGCGTTGTGTGAAACGTCTAGGAATGGTATTCTTAAATTTAAATTCATAGATAATGCAATGATATAAGTATAAAGAAGTACAATGATTGTATTATTAGTAATCTAATAACAATTAATGTTAGTTTCATTGCAATTTGTTAACAAACAAAAAAATTATGACCTTTGTACTTCCTAATACGTAGTATGTCGCGAACATAGCTTGTTAAAAATAACTATACACAATATATATGCCAATGCACCAAACTGTTTGCCGACGTAATAATAGTATGTTAATTTCTCTTATAAGGAGACATCCGTGCCCAGGAGTGGCAGTTGCCGTGATGCAATGCTTTTATTTATGATTAAAATAATATATTTTAATCATAAATAAAAGTTGGTTGTTATTTTAATCCTCAGAGCCGAACTACCGCTACCTGGTGGAGTTGCTTCATGTTCCCCTGCAGTCCATCTATAATTGGCCATATACAGCAGTAGCGACATTAAATGGGGAAGCCGACGATATACGTACAGTGAATTAGTCCCTTCTGTTGTATGTTATTTAAAATATTATATACTCCATAAATACAACGAATTTTTGACAAAAAAAATGACAAAATAATCCAGTCGGTTTAGATTACTCATTACTATAAGCAATGAATTCAAAATATATATTTGTAATAGTACTAATTGTATGATTTCGAATTATTTATTAATATGGTCTTATTTCCAGCGTGATCACATAGGTAATGTAAGTTACCAAATCTAGTTTTTTCGAGGTCGTACTCACTGTCAACACTGACCAAAACCTAATATTTGAAAAGTTCATGATAGTTTTAGGTAGGTACGGTTAATTTCTGTGATACTTTACCAGTGTGGTATAAGACATTGTATAATATTATTTAATTGAAGAATGTCACGATGAATACTTAACTTCCTGAAGGAATCTTTATTGTATTTTTTAATTTTTAAATAGAATATATAATGGAATTATGTACTCATTTTATGTTAATTTCACACAAGCCTTCAGGATAATTGTGTACCAGTTCGTATTACAAATATGTTTATGTCTAAGTTCTACTTTCATACAGATTATGTAGTACCCTGTATTTTTATATTATGGCAATACTTAATGAAACTTATAAGGTTAACCCAAATTTAATATTGCTTCATTTGTTGGTAGCATCATATTTAGCGATTTAATGTATTTTACTTACATCCTAATATATACTTTGACACTTAAACTTCCCGTTTGGATAAAAATATTCAATATTATTAATATTAATGAATCACTCAATAAATTATTCATAAATCACATGTGTGTATATGGTATGTTGATATTTATAAATATACTGTAATCTGTTTTAGGTTAAATGCTTAAACTGTTGTTTATGGATCTTATAATTTAATACTAAAATAATTATACGTATGCACTCATTCAAAAGTGTGAGGGAAAGTGTCACCGTAATAGTCATAAATTCAGTAATGGTATTTCTGAAACTGAGCTGAACAATTTTATACGACGTATAATATTTTATATTTAGACACATATCTGATATAGTCTAATTATAACAATTATTCTGAACCTTCCATCTGTGCAAATGTCAAAATATAAAAAATTAATTTGGGAGAAGTTAAAATCCTCGCTTTATATAAAATGACCTCCTTTTGCATGTAGATTAACAATACATTGTTATATATATATATCCATACTTATCTCTATTATACGTCTCTTGTGCTGAGGGAGTGATGTTCATCATGGGTTGTACAATATGAGTCCTGAGATAAAATGTAAAAAGCACGTTACTAGTAAAGCATTATATATTCTATTACAAGTGTATTCCTAATCTTAAATAGCAATAACGATACTAAACACTGTAGGTTGACTTACGATGGGATCAAAATTAAATCGAAATAATTACTATATTTAAAAATACTCGAAACGTTTTGGGATGATTTATTATTTATTTGAAACACTTATGCTTAGTATCAATAAAAATCTGTTTGTTTATTCATTGAGACAAGTAATATTACATTGTTACATTGTTGTTGTCAGCAGATACACCCACAAAACAACATGTATACATTATATGTTGTTTTGTAGGTCCTGGAATAACTCAACTAGACTAATTTATACTAAATAGTTGATGAGGCTTGTTTATTACAAGTTTCCTAACTATTGAATACCTTCAAAATCAAATGTTTGTAAATGAAAATAGTGTTTATTTCGATTTAATCTTGATTCGGTTGTTAAACATTCATTTTCCTGTTTTAAAAACAAGGGAATAAGCACAAAATTTATTGCCACAATAAATGAATGGCAAATCAAGTCTAGTCATTCTATACAAATTTCAGTTTAAATTAATATATAATCAAACAACAGTGTTTAATTTCTATTATGTAATGTTTTTAAAGCATAATTATTATTGTCAATATCTTTATATAAGTATATATTTTAGACCGAAGTTCAAATAAATATTCATTAAAATGTTAGACTGTCGGGAGGCCTATTTCATGTTAAATAGTTATTTCTCTTTTTAAAATAAAAACAATGTATTAATCCAAGAATAGGTACTTAAAAATATTACACAATTTTCAAGTAAGTAGTTAGTATTAGTAGTCGTAATTGGTAGGGCATATAAATACAAGTTATATGAATTATGTAACGCTAGCTGCATAGTATTGTGTTATATTATTCCTAGCTTAAAGTTATTTGGCAACTGGAAAAACGTGTGGCTTATAAGATACCAAGTATAAACCAAACGACGACGACATACTGTGTTAACAGCAGGACGTGTTCCAATTTGGGATAAGAAATAATTTAAAATCCATGTTATAAACGTAGACATTTCTATTGCACAGAATTTAAAAACCTTTGCACTAAAAGCCATATTCATGCTTCAAAGTTTGTTAAATCGAAATCAAATATTTTTTACGCAAATATGTTAACAGAAATAATTTTTGAAAAATCATCTAATCATGAAATAGATGTCTCAGAAAAAAGAACAATGAACTAATTGAAACATTATAAGTCCTTATTTTTAATTGCATCTCAATATTTGATTTCATAATATTGCTATCCCATTATCATGTAATGGGAAATGTACATGTAAAAGTACTGTCTCCTGATAAAAATATGAAGATAAAGTCCATCAGTCAGTAAGGATAGTTACTCTATGCTGACTTCCACGAGGATTTGATTTTAATTGGGTCCGCACGGAGACTGACTATCATGGTACAAAGCTCGTAATAAATTTATTATTATTATGAGTCATCATGAAATGTATCCACATGTAGTATATAGTAATAAACATAATAATAATAATAATATAATAATAACCGTACCATATAACAATTAATTATCGTTGTAAGTAGTGTTCCGTTTTGTAGTTAGTTAATCTGGATATTTTTAAAGTTTTACATAACCTAACGCGAATATGTTTTTGTTTCCAACTCTACTTTGCATTATTCATTCTAAAATACAGATATATAATATACGATTAATTCCACAAAGCAAGCATGCCCCATAACATAGTTTGGTAACGTGTAGTTTAGTTTAAAAACAGTATGTTTGAAAGGATTACCTTGTTATGCTTTTGCATCGTTTGGTGTCTGCCAATTACACGTAAACTATTGAACATCGGGTGTTAATATAACAAAACTAATGATTTTTTCAGGTTGCTAAATAATAGGTTTAAGCCCAAGAATGTTGGCTGTTTTATACATTTTTATGAGCCCATGTTATTGGTAAGAATTTTTGTACCGATATTATTAGTGTAATAAACATGAATGTACTCGTTTATAATGTACTATTTGCGATAGAAATAATTATAGAGTATTTTACTGAAAATTAAAGGTTAAAGTTTAAAATCTAAAATTCTTTTCTTTTTCAATAATGATTACTATTATATTTTGTCATTTTATAAACAGTCATGCTCTATAGCCGCCAGAAATGTTATAGTACGGCTATAAACTTCTAGGCCACGAGTGGTTTTTTTCATTGCTCATCGGAAGGTTAACCATTATTACCGAAGTCTCCCGGGCGACCCGGGAGGATTGGGAACCCTAGATACTATAGTTAGCTGAAGGTATTTTATTACAGTAGTGACAATTTGGTCTTTGATAATAATAGATCTTATACACCATAGGTAATTAAATTATTAGACTTTATCACTTAATTATCAGATGATATACACAATCCATATTTGCGGTTTTCTTTATTTGACTACAATTATTCTATCTGAATCGAGTAAAAACTAAAATATTCATTCCTTATGATGAAAATAATTATACCAGATTATAGTTTAAATTTCAATTTTATTTTTAAAGCGTTAGTAATTGTTTTTATAAAATTATTGACATTAATTAAAGAAAAAAAACTAAATACAAGTTCGAGTTGAATTTATAATTGCTTAATATCAAAACAAGTGAATTAGGTACACATATACGATAATCTATTTTTTAATCTCGGAGACTAAATTGACAGATGTTAATGTCAAATTTACGAATAATGTTAACAGCTGTAGTGCGATACCGATTTGTGAAACACATTTTTTTATTTTAGGCGATTACTTTCGAACTTTTCTACATAGGTTCGGCAACATATTTTTAAATTTATGCATACACTAGTATACTAGTTATTGTCTTTTGTATTAAACATTCCAAAAGTAAATTTTTGTGGGAGTGGCCCCACACAGAAATGGTGTAAGGGACAGGTTGGCAAAAACTAAAACTGTGAATTCAATTATTCTGAAGTGAAAACCAGGGGTGATTCTTTCTGAACTTTTTTTTCCTTTTAAAATCATGTGAACTATGATATTATGTCATAATATAAAGAAATAATATTATTTTATTGCTAAATATTATAAAATACCAAAAAGCATCAATGTAATTCGTTTTAAAATCCTTCCCCTACACCGCGCCGATTACCTGTCTTCAATGACACGAAAGCGTACGAAAACGCCGTCGCTTGTAAAACTATTCTCACATTTATGTATACTTTTTCAGTTCAGTGGCTTTCATGATTTCTTAGATTGTATACATTCATCAGTATAGCTCATACCGGATAAAATACACATAATCATTATGAGTAGGGATTACTGATGAGTTATACTGTGTTAATGCTTGTTTGTTAACCCTTTCGATCACAAACAAAAGGTTTTACAAATCGAAATTTAGAAAAGGCGGAGGTTTAACAGACATTAATAAAATAAAAACCAACATTGACCTCCTTAATTTTATTTTGAAGTAGGTTAAAAAAGAATTTTTAAAATCGGTCAAAACCTACGTAATTAATTTCTAATCACCCCCTAACGCCGCGCCGCGCCGCTCGCCTAATCCTGCGGCTTCTTATGAGTTTATTTCGTTATATCAGTTACTTATATGCATTTCCATTATTTAAAAATGTTTGTTTGTTAATTTCAGCATATGTTTTAATTTAGTAGATTGTTATTTTTTGTTATGATTTTATGAGTATTTATGACACAAACACGCCTCTCGTGTTAGTACTGTAATTTATTTTATATTACGTTTCTATCCGTGAAAACCTATAAGTGGCCGTTCTCATTTAATTATGTTTATTACTATGTTTGTAAATAGCCTTGGTTTTCCGAAAATAAATAAATATCTGTTGTAAAACGCTCGCGATACCCCGCGTCGTAAACCATATTGCGCGCAATACATTGCGTGGCGTCGAAACTAAGAATAGTTAATTATATGACTGTAAAAATTGTTATCTGATTCAGCCGTTTTGGCCAACCTGTCCCTTACAGCCTGTATATAGTAATTTTTACGGTATTTTATTTTTCAAACTGTTAAATATTTTAAATAGGTATATCATATGACATCATGAAGAAGCAGTTGGTCTTTGGTTCTATGGAAATGTCAATTAAAAAAATAGATACAATGACCTTATATTTATTAATAATTTATTTTGTGTTAATGCGTTTCAAACACCGACGTATTAATATTAATTTCCGATAGTACGACTATTTAAGAATTGCAAAAAGCTGGCAAATTAGGTAACGTTATACTTGTCTCTGAGATAAAAAAACAGTTAAATACCATTTTAAATATATACAATGGTATGAATATACACAACTGCACAGTTGATAATGTTGAAAGTATATAATAAATTTTGTGATATTTCCCAATAAGTAAAAAATACCTATTATATTCGAAACAATTTATTTACACGTCTAAAAACTTGCAGGAGAGTATATTTTGACATTATTGAATATAAGTGTTCAACACAATTATAAAGAAATGTAGCAACGCTATCGACGTTGCTCATTGTACGCTAGTAGTCATCACCGCGAGATATCACCTCCTTACAAGTAGGTCTCAGAAGGATAGTGTGTTCGAACTGAGCTGTATAGCACCCTTTGATGTCGCACAAAGGTGGGTATGGGTCGACCACTCCTTTATCGCATAGATCTTTAAGTGCCATGGCATATCTTGAGGCGCCAGCGCGCTCTAACCATCGCTTGCAAAATGCGAGTGTACCGAAATTTTTGTTAATTAAATTTAATAACTGTTTAGATGATTGCAGTCTGTAAAAGAAAAAAAGTGATATAAATTCAGCCTTATATATCTCTATTAATCTTTGAATACATTATTTAATCTTCTATTACCTCAATGGAACAAACTGTTGGTCGAAATTTTTCATGTAATGTGAACAATCCATGTCATCATGAACTTGTCCGCGTCCTGTAGACCCAAATGTTTCAATAGCATAGAATTCATTTTCTTCCATGCGTGTTGTTTCGCCGCCTTTTACAATTGGTACCGTTTTGCCAGCATGAATTCCTATAAACATTAATAAAATTACTAACATGTTTTAGTGTAATAATATAAATATTAAAATAATATTACTTACTATAAGGCCCAATAGAATGCCCGTTCAGATTTCGGATAGGTTTCACTTGATAAATTTGGCCATCCAATTCAACTTCATGGGATTCCATTACCTACAATTATAGTGTTTCATATAAATATTATATTAGTATTGTGTCTATAAATATATCTTGCGTTTTATTCAATGAACATCATTGTCCAATAATACTTACAGTATGGACACCAAGGAGTTATGTGTAGCCTGGTTGATAAGCTGATATTAAGATATGAAATATATTTGGTACAGTTAATAGGCGAAGACTTACTTCTTGCACCGCAGCACCGACGTCACACAACCTCACATCGACACCAGATGCTTTGATGCCAGCTTCGGTAGCCTCTTGCACACCTTTAACGAGGGGGTCGTATCGGTTGTTGAAGTGCAGCGTGAATGCACAGTCTATAATACGGCCGTTGATGTGTGTGCCAAAATCTATCTTCACTACGTCATCATATTCAAGAACGGTTGTGTCACCTATGGTTTTGAAGTTAATGTCAGTAATAAAGGCAACGCGTAAAGTCTATTCACATAAATAAATTTAGAATTAATAGGAGTACTTTCATCAGAAAATTTTAATGTATCTTTATCGGAACATTAAAGTAATTTTAACAATAAAGATTTTTTTATGTAAACATTTTGTTGTCAGTCCAAACAAAGTATTTTTTTAGTTAATTGTAATCTATGGTGGTAAATACTTTTGGCCAAGAATGTATCCTTGGCCAAAAGTATTTATATATTATGAAATACAAAAGTATGTGTATATATTATGAAAACTGGTGGAGGTGAATACCTCCGAGATAAAATAATTGATAAAAGTTTACATTAATTTTTTATAGTAAATACCAATGCGAGGTGCATTGGTATTTACTTTAATTATTGTACATAAAAAAACTAGAAGGTATAGGAACATCATACAAATCCTAATTATATATTGAAAGGAGCCTGTTAGGTTCACAAACAAAGACCTCATTAACATAAGACACAATTATCCATAACTCTCCTGAATTTAAGCTGACAGATTTATAACTGGCATTAATCTAAAAATATACACAATTAATTAAGTTAATTAAGTGCAATAAATACCAATAAAGGGGACCATATCACTGGAATTTTATTTTTCCTCAAAAGGACTTATTAGGTTGTACACAAATGACATAAAATAGATGACGACTATTAAGTGAATCATTTATGGGAAAACTTATAGGAAAGCATTTTCCTATAAGTTTTATATAATATATCTATAGGTTCTTTCATTAAATGTACCTGTATTTGGAGTGTAGTGAGCAGCACAATGGTTACGACTGCACCCCGTAGGGAAAGCTAATCCAGCCTTGAGCCCATCTTCACCAATGAGGCGTCGTGCAGTTGACTCCAGTTCCTCACAAATTTGGATCATGGTCATGCCAGGTTTAATCCATTTACGAATATGGTCACGGGTCTTTAACAATAATTGTTATTATGGAAAAATGTATTTAAGATAAGTTCACATTTCAAGACTTTCCAGAGGTTCAGGCATGGTGAGCCAGGTCTTGGTTCTTCCTAGAATATGGTTGAACATAATGATTTACGGTTTAGGTCATATTTGTAAACTTAAGTTACTGTAACTGTAAACTAAAGTTTACTTAAATATAGAGATTGACATAAGGTACATATTAGGTTTATATAGACTGCTAGACTACTGATGTCATCTAAAAATATTTTTATTGACTATCTGTAGTCTTTCAGGTTAGTACACCACTATACGTCCAATGGTTGCAGGGTCCATTCCTTGCACAATTTCAAACATTAGTAGTCATGAGTATGATTCTTTGTATTAGTTGTTTTGTTTGTACAGTGGACCCCCGGTTATTCGACAAACGTTTTGCAGGGCAGTGTCGGAGCTCGATGCTCTGATACGTTTTCCCGGGGTCCACTGTGTTTTTTTGAATTATCGGAGTGCCTAAGTCCCGATTATTTTATAAAAGAGTAATCTTGTAATCCGACAAATTACAGATCCAGTGATAAGATTCTATGTTATATATGTATGTATGTATATGCACTTTGAAGTATAAATCATACTTCATTATATATGTCAACTACTAAAAGATTCGTTATGATTTATGCAGTCTAAAATATCACATTTTTCTTTAATTGTCAGTGTTTTGTGCTTTCCCGTCTGAGCTGATAGGTATACGTGTGAATAAACAGTAAACAATGAACACATGCTATACTGCAGCGCTATCTTCATCACATGTAAGTAGTCAAATTCAAACTAAGCAATCATAATCAAAACAATAGCCTAGCATTGAGTACAACATTGGTGATGCAATGTTGTACTCAACGCATAGTGAAGTTCAAACTTGTTCAATCATGTATTAGCTAAGATTGTAAAAAAACTATTCAATAATAAATAATGAACCATGTCGGATTACAAGGGGGGCCGGATTAGACAGAGGCCGGATTACCGCAGGTCCACTGTATATATTTAGGTATTTCTATATGTAGTCTAGCACAACACACCAGTTATGCTTAGGTTGGGACTTGGTAACATGATGCTGTGTTATTTTAATACATTAAGTTTAGATTTTCATTCCATAGTATCATGAAAAAATATACATTTATAATTTCTTTATTACAATGTGTTTTTTAATTAAGTTATCTGAATTTTAGTCTAGTATTTATGAAGCTAAAAGATGAGATAGAGGATATCTTCCCAAAGTTCTTGACTTATGAATCTCCTCATTTTTTTAAATCAAATCAAATGAGTTGTTGATTATACACGGAAAATAGCAATTATTATATTTGTATCAGTTTTACAAGTAATTATATATTGATACCTGTCTATGAGCTTCTGCTGCATGCCTAATTTCTTGATAGATGTCTTGTTGCATTCTATCCAAAGCTCTTTTTTCTTCACTTGTAAAACGATCTTTGGCAGTTTGTTCACTAATGCCTTCAGCTGGGCCATGCTCCATGATTTGGCCCTCTGGGAAATTACCTGAAGATATTTTGCACTTTAACATTTATTCCTATTTAATTACAATCTGATGACAAAACAAATTATTTGATATTTTGACCACATACTATATATAGGACAATAATACTAATAAGGTAATTCATGAAATTATGAGTATTTTTACCATCTGGATATAGTTCAGCAATAGGTATAGTAGGTGGATTAGTTTGTTCCTTGCTTGGTCCTTTTCCAGATTTATTTTTGTTCTTTTTTTTCTTCTTCTTTTTTTCATCATCTCCAGCAGTTTCCTCTACAGATAAAGACTGTACTTCTTGTAACACATTATTAACCTCAGGTTTATTTTCAGACCCGGCATCAGCATCAACTGAAATCATAACATATTAACTGAATATGTAGGTATTGCTAATAATATTGCTTTTTTGTTTGTGTATGAATTGCAGAATAAGTTAATTAAAAGAGTACTTCATCTGTGCAACGTGAAAATTGTCACACAATTCTGAAGTGGTATTATCATCATACCATATATTATATTATTTGCTCTTTACATCTACTTCACAGAGATATAAAAGGTATTATATATATGTTAATAACATAGGGAGCGCTGACATCTACAATAAAAAAGTTCTTGTATTAATGCATAATCATCATCATCATCTTAGCCCAAAAAACAAACACTCCTGAAGAAAGGCCTCCCCCAAAGATCTCCATGAGTATCAGTCATGCGCTGCTCACAATGCATAATGAATAGCAGTAATATAGAATTATTTGTCACAGTTTTACATGATGAAAAAAGTAGTTAGTATTAAGTGTACTGAAGGTACTGAAAAACAGATTATACAAAATCTCTAATTCAGTATTGTCATCATAAAACAACATAGTGATCAACAATTAGTGACCATCATCTTTAGGTGAGAAATCTTATAAGTCATGTTAGCCATTTCAGTGCCAAATTTATATTATCAGCTCATCTATGTATCTTGTTATAACATTTTTATATTGTGATAGAAATAGCTATTATTAAGTTTAGTATGCATACTTTTGTGGAATACAATATACAAAAGAAGTATATTAAGCATGAATTAGAAATTGCGGGAATGGAATTTCACTATACCGCGAAATGCTGGAAGGCGAAAGTTCTATTTTGAAACTAACCTGTCTTCTTCTTCTTTTTTTTCTTTTTCTTCTTCTTAGCAGGATCTTTTGTTCCATTCTCTTCCGCTGCCTCTAGATCGTCTTCCTCTTCACCATTTTCAACAATTTCCTCCTTATTTAATTCATCAGTTTTAACTGCAGCCATTTTACTTGAATTAGTAAAATAAAATTAAAACATGTGTCTTCAATTCCTTTACATCAATTGATCATTTCAATCTATGTCAGTCATGTATATTCCTCTAGGAATGACAGTAATAGACTGACTAACTTCTTTGACAGGTCAAGGCCTGAAACCTATATCGACTATAGAAACCACAGAATATCAATCTATACATCTATACATATAAATAAAATTGGAGTGTCTGTTTGTAATATTGACATAACCGTTTTTTACTACATGCATATGAATATAAAACGGTACATACACCAGAATAACATTTTTTAAAATTTTGGCTGTCTGTCTGTCTGTTCCGGCTAATCTCTGAAATGGCTGGACCTATTTTGACGGGACTTTTTTTGGCAGGTAGCTGATGTAATAAGGAGTAACTTAGGCCACTTTAATTTTAGAAAAAAATATTTATTTTAGAAAAATAAAGTTAAATTCCACGTGGACTAAGTCGCGGGAACAGATAGTATTAAATATAAACTAAACAGAACCTGATAGAACCTAACAACGGATTTACGGAGTCGGAGTTTCTTTAATCAATACAATATGTATCTAATAAAATAATCAATTATTAAATTAGAACGAAACATGTATTAAATTTACACTACCTAATGGTAGTGTAAATTTAATACATTAGTGAGGTCGATAAGTACACAGTTATTGCTTAATGATGAAATAGTAAATTTTGTCATTAATACATTTTTTTATGTACCTATCACAGAGGACTCTAAATTACATGGGACCCCATTTTTAAAAATTAGTTAGTAGATTAGCAAACGTAACGACGACTAGACTATAAGTTTATTATATTTTAGTTATTTTCATAGCATTATATTATAGAATAAAGCAGGTATAATCAGAAGCGTAGGGTGTCTTGGCGGGGCTTCGTTTAAAAAATTGTGTGGATGCCCATACGAAGGGTAAAGAATTCTTACAAATGAAAATTTGCATACAAATTAAGAGATAATTATGCTGAATAAATATTTATTCATCAGAATTATATGTCACTTTTTCCAAAATTTTATATTCAATACAAATGAAATATGAGTGTATATTTCCTTTGCATTGCCTTTTTTTCGGCAAACTGGTTTATTAAATCATTTATAGCTGATACAGAAAGAAAATAAATAGCTTTTTTTTACTTTTATCATTTGTTAAATAAAAGAAAAATTGGGAAGTTAATTTTTGCTTACGCACGTTGGGGGCCCCCGTGACCCGGAGGACCCAATAAATGATATGGTAGATACTGCGGTAGCTATAGCTATATATATATATATATATATATATATATAGCCCCTGGGTATAATAAAAAAATCTTTATTCAAATTTCCATTTAAGTTCTTTTGAATACTCATGCTTATTTTTTTAATCTATCGCTCATTGGAAAGCTGTCTCATCACAAGAAGAATGAGTAATAAACTGGCGTTGCTCTATTAAATAATTTAGTTGAAATATGTGAATACAAACTACCAACTAGCACTAATTCAGTAGAGTCATAATATCAAATAAACAAATAACTGGTTTAGTAACAAGCAAGAGAAAATCAGTCGTAGTGATTACAGCAGATCAGTTTATACAAGCAGTACTTGTTCAGAGTATAACGCACGAGGCAGGCATCATTGCGCTCGTCCTTATTTTAGGGAGCTCTGCTTACCACGCCGCGCCGTTGAGTATGGACATTTTAGTGAACATGACTACTCAATCGACCAAGTCATGTTTATTAGAATTACCACGTGGTTGTTATAGTATTCGCACTTTATATTCATATGTATGTATGCATCCCGATACTAAAACAAATATCACTACGGTTTCATATTTTACAATGTTTTAAATAAAAGAAGTAATATGAGAAAAAATATGGCGTTATTATATTATTTTGTCCGCAAATATGTAAACTTATTTTACCTACTTAGGTTGGTGCTACTTACTACTTAATAGATATTGTTGTTTTATGAATTCGTCTAGGCAAAATTTGAATTGCCTTTCTGTCAAATTCTAGTTTATTATAAAATCTAAGGCATATATCATACAATGAATGAAAACTGAAATAAAAACCAACTTCGTTTAGACGGCATTAAATAAAATTTGCTTATTTTGATTATGTAAGTTTTGACTTATCTTAATGTCTAGTATATGTACATATATACTATATGAAATTTCAAACACGAGTTTATACGAGTATAGACAAGGAGTACAGAATAGTAATATATTTTTTAAATTAGTAGGCATAAAATACATTAATCAATAAAAAAATACACATAATGTATTTGACACATATACAATATATATAGGATATGTATATATAATATACCTAATGTTCAAACTTATGGTTGAAAATAATTAGGTATATTCGAATTTCGACCATTGGGCGATCACTATGCGTTTATAAATATATAGGTATAACGTAATACATAACACATGTAAGCTTTCCCCAAAAGGGGACCTCGCAGAAGGATCCCCAGTTTTATTACGGAAAGATCGCGGTATTTATGTGTTGTTTAATCGCAACCCAAAGGGACGCCCACGTCCCACAGGGAAGGCGAAAGGAAATTGCTAACAGCCCACATATTAGCAATGTATCAGAGCCAACATTGTCCAGGTCAACTTACATCATGTAAATGGCAGTTAACAGCGGTCATAAGAAAACCTCTTCCGCAAAACGACCTGGACCTTGCTCTGATACAAGAGCCATGGCTCAACAAAGCCACGCCTTTAGGCCTCAATGCCTCAGGTAATATTCTTTTTAATACCACTGGCACTAAACCTAGAGCATGCATTCTTTTTAAAAGAAACTAGATTTTCTGACTGTTCCAGAACTATGTACAGATGACCTAGTGACAGCCTTCGTCAATTTCCCTGGATGCACAGGGTCAAAAGTACTGTTTGTCTGCATACCTACCTGGAGAATGATGAAAACAACAAAATCATCAAAGACCCGACAACCGGCCTACAGCCTGTGGTGGAATACGCCCGTAAGCACAAGGCCGAACTCCTCGTGGGCTGCGATGATATCACACAAACTAGATAAGCTCTGACATCAACACCAGAGGTAAGTCACTTGATGATTTTATACTAACCAACTGTCTTCAAATCCTAAATACAGGGTGCACACCGACGTTCGTCACTGCCACAAGACAAGAGGTACTAGATATAACATCGCGACCGACAAACTTTAAATATATCACTCATTGGCATGTCAGCAATGAGAACTCCATGTCTGATCACAAGCACATCAGATTACAATTAAACACGAAAGTTTTTTAAAACCCCATTTCTACAATAAAGAAAGGCTACAGATTGGCCTACAATACAGAGACAATCTTACAAGCCTAATTGCGGACCTTCCGAGAGAGTATCAAATCTCCTCTAGAACTGTTAGAAACGCTTGGACATACTTCTAAGTGGCATAATAAGTGCCTACCAGAACAACTGTCCCATCAAAACCAAAACCGCCAAATGTAAAACACCCTGGTGGAATAAGAGTCTAGAAAAGCTGAGGAAGAAAACTCGCAAATTATCCAACAGGGCTACGTTGTTAGTTTCGAATACATTATACTGAACACAACGGAATACTACTGCGAAATTAGGAAAGCCAAAAGAGCATCATGGCGTGCTTTTTGCGAGGAATAACTCAGACTCCCCAAGGATCCAGATTACACAAAATGCTTGCCAAGGCGCCAAATAACCAAATTGGACTTATGAAAAAAATCAATGGTACCTATACGACATCAGAGGAAGAAACTCTAAGCTGCTATCTACAACCCACTTCCCTGGCTCGGTTCATATCTCAAGAGATAAGGAGAACCCTCCAAGCTCACATCTACAAAAGCCCAACCATGAGGCGTGGAACAGAAACAGTTTTTCGACCAAAACAAATTAATGGGCTATAAAATCTTTCAAGCCATATAAATCATCGGGAGAAGATGGAATTTTCCCGGCCCTGTTACAACAAGGGTTTGACATCCTATCTCCCTATCTGGTAAGAATATTTGAGCCAGCTTTGCCTGGGGTTTTATACCAGAACCATTAACGAAGGTCAAAGTTACCTACGTACCGAAAACCGGTCGAAGAGACTACTCGCAGCCAAAGTCTCACAGACCTATAAGCCTAACCTCTTTCATAATAAAAACCATGGAAAAGGTTCTGGACCAACACATTAGAGCTACAATCCTCGAAAATGCTCCCCTGCACAGGAATCAACATACCGCAAGGGACATTTCTTCAGAGACCGTTTTGCTCGAACTCACCGACAAGGTCGAGAAGGCCTTTGAGGACAAACTTTTTTAAATAGCTCTATGTGCATTTCTCGATATTGAGGGTGCTTTTGATAACACGCCCATAGAGACCATCTCACAGGGACTCATCCGCAAGAAAGTGGATGAAACCACCACTCAATGGATCAAAGCAATGCTCTCAAATCGAACCATTAAAACTACTCTGCAGAACAGTACGTTAGAAATCCGACCTACCCAAGGATGCCCTCAAGGAGGCGATTTATTTATTCTGCTGTGGCTACTAACGGTAGACCAGCTCTTAGATGTTATGACCAAAAACCAATTTGAGGTACAAGGCTACGCAGACGATTTAGTAGTCATGGTCAGAGGGTTCTGTGCAACAACAATATCAGACCGCATCCAAAGAGCATAAACATCATAGTTAAATGGTGTAAGGAAAATGAATTATCAGTAAATCCTGATAAAACAGTAATTGTTCCGTTTACAAAAAGGAAGAAACTTGACAAACTTGTCATGCCTAAAGTAAATGGAAGAATATTAGAGTGCTCCAAAGAAGTCAAGTACCTGGGCGTAACCTTCGACCAAAAACTGACATGGAACACACACATAGACAACATAACTCAAAAGGCGAAAACATCCCTAGGTATAAGCCGACGGGTAGCGGGGCCCAGATGGGTAATACCCCAAAATTGCCCTATGGCTTTATACAGCAGTGGTGAGACCACTTACCACCTATGCCTGCGCAATCTAAATGTGGAGGAAAACCCTCCAATCCACAGCTGCCACCAAGCTAAACAGCCTACAGAGAATTGTATTG